TAATTGGGGAACATGAGATACAAACATCAAGTAGACAATGAACTATTAGTGGCAGATAAGAGGCTAGTTTCCGGTTCCTGGTTTATTAAATGAAAAGTAAAGAGGCAGTTGGTTGGATCTGCAGGTGCTTTTAGAATTGACAGAAAGAAGAGAGAGTGAAAATGAAAACACAACTGTGCAAAACCTTTGGGATGCAGCAAAGGTGGTCCTAAAAGGGAAGTACATAGCAATACAAGCCTTTCTCAAGAAACAAGTAAAGTCTCAAATACACAACATAACCTTACACCTAAAGGAGCTGGAGAAAGAACAGCAAATAAAGCCTAAACCCAGCAGGAGAAGAGAAATAATAAAGATTAGAGCAGAAATCAATGAAATAGAAACCAAAAGAACAGTAGAATAGATCAACGAAACTAGGAGCTGGTTCTTTGAAAGAATTAATAAGATTAATAAAACCCTAGCCAGACTTATCAAGATCAAGAAGAAAAGAGAAAGGACCCAAATTAATAAAATCATGAATGAAAGAGGAGAGATCACAACCAACACTGAAGAAATGCAAACACTTATAAGAGCATATTATGAGCACCTCTATGCCAACAAATTAAGCAACCTGGAAGAAATGGATGCATTCCTAGAGACGTATAAAATACCAAAATTGAAACAGGAAGAAATAGAAAACCTGAACAGACCCATAATGAGCAAGGAAATTGAAGCCTTAATCAAAAATCTCCCAACAAACAAGAGTCCAAGGCCAGATGGCTTCCCAGGGGAATTCTACCAAACATTTAAAGAAGACTTAATACCTATTCCTCTGAAGCTGTTTCAAAAAAATAGAAATGGAAGGAAAACTTCCCAACTCTTTCTATGAGGCCAGCATTACCTTGATCCCAAAGCCAGACAAAGATCCATCAAAAAGGAGAATTACAGACAAATATCCCTGCAAAAATTCTCACCAAGATACTAGTCAATAGGATCCAACAGTACAGTAAAGGGATTACTCACCACAACCAAGTAGGATTTATTCCTGGGCTGCAAGGGTGGTTCAACATCTGCAGATCAATCAATGTGATACACTACATAAATAAAAGAAAGGACAAGGACCATATAATCCTCTCAACAGATGCAGAAAAAGCATTTGACAGAGTACAGCATCCTTTCTTTCTTTTTTTTTTTTTTTTAAAGATTTTATTTATTTATTTGAGAGAGAGAGTACATGAGAGGGGGGAGGGTCAGAGGGAGAAGCAGACTCCCTGCCGAGCAGGGAGCCTGATATGGGACTCGATCCTGTGACTCCAGGATCATGACCTGAGCCGAAGGCAGTCACTTAACCAACTGAGCCACCCAGGCGCCCTACAGCATTCTTTCTTGATTAAAACACTTTACAGTGTAGGGATAGAGGGAACATACCTCAATATTATAAAAGCCATCTATGAAAAGCCCACAGTGACTATCATTCTCAATGGAGAAAAACTGAGAGCATTTCCCCTAAGGTTGGGAACACGGCAGGGATGTCCACTATCACCACTGCTGTTCAACATAGTACTAGAAGTCCTAGTCTCAGAAATCAGACAACAAAAAGAAATAAAAGGCATCCGAACAGACAAAGAAGAAGTCAAACTTTCACTCTTTGCAGATGACATGGTACTCTATGTGGAAAACCCAAAAGACTCCACCCCAAAATTGCTAGAACTCCTACAGAAATTCAGCAAAGTGGCAGGATATAAAATCAATGCACAGAAATCAGTTGCATTTCTATACACTAACAATGAGACGAAAGAGAAATTAAGGCATAGATCCCATTTACAATTGTACCAAAAACCATAAGATACCTGGGAATAAACCTAACGAAAGAGGTAAAGGATCTGTACTCTGAAAACTATAGAACACTCATGAAAGAAATTGAGGAAGACACAAAGAAATGAAAAAACGTTCCATGCTCATGGATCAGGAGAACAAATATTGTTAAAATGTCTATGCTTCCCAGAGCAATCTTATCAAAATACTATCAACATTTTTCACAGAGCTGGAACAAATCCTAAAATTTGTATGGAACTAGAAAAGACCCCAAATGACCAAAGGAAAGTTGAAAAGGAAAACTAAACCTGGTAGCTTCACAATTCCAGACTTCAAGCTCTATTAAAAAGCTATAATCATCAAGACAGTATGGTACTGGCACAAAAACAGACACATAGGTCAATGGAACAGAGTAGAGGACTCAGAAATGGACCCTCAACTCTAAGGTCAACTAATCTTGGACAAAGCAGGAAAGAATGTCCAATGGAAAAAAGACAGTCTCTTCAACAAATGGTGTTGGGAAAATTGAACAGCCACATGCAGAAGAATGAAACTGGACCATTTTCTTAAATCGTACACAAAAATAAACTGAAAATGGATGAAAGGCCTAAATGTGAGACAGGAATCCATCAAAATCCTAGAAGAGAACACAGGCAGCAACCTCTTTGATCTCGGCCACAGCAATTTCTGGCTAGACACATTTCCAAAGGCAAAGGAAACAAAGGCAAAAATGAACTATTGGGACTTCATCAAGATAAAAAGCTTTTGCACAGCAAAGGAAACAGTCCACAAAACCAAAAGACAGCCTACAGAATGGGAGAAGATATTTGCAAATGTTTTATCAGATAAAAGGTTAGTATCCAAAGTCTCTAAAGAATTTATCAAACTCAACACCCAAAGAATAAATAATCCAGTCAAGAAATGGGCAGAAGACTAGGTGATGGACATTAAGGATGTCCTTAGTGTGTGAGGATCCTCTAGATGTGAAGAAGTAGGGACATAATGGATGTCCATCCATTGCATGATGTAATGAACACTGGGTGTTATATACAATTGATGAATCACTGAACTCTATCTCTGAAACTAATAATATGCTATATGTTAATTAATTGAATGTAAATAAAATTAAATTTAAAAAAAGAAGGGAGAGGAAATTCAATGCTGCTTTTTGATGGTAGATAAAGAGGGAGGGAGGGCAATCATAGCAGGATAGGAACAGGGTTCTGATTGTAGACATGGAAGAGCCTTCTTCAGTCATTTAACAAATACTTATTGGGCATTTATTCTGTGGGAATTTACTCATTCTAGGATACAGTGGTGAGTTGAAAGTAATATGCAAACCCTCATGGAGATTATGTTCTAGTAGAGAAAGCAAATAGAAAGATGAACAAATATCCATGTCAGGGAGCAACAAGTGCTATGGAGAAAATGAATCAGCATGGTAGAAAAGAGAGTGCCGGAGATACTACTGCAGACTGAGCGATCAGGGAAGAGCTCAGACCCACATAGCAAGAAGGCACCAGCCATGCCAACGTCTAAGTAAAGAGAAGTTGAGGCCAAATGAATAACACGCACCAAGGTCTTGGGACAGGAAAGAATTCCACATGTTCAAGAAGCAGGGGAAGACCAAGATAGCAGGGATTACAGACAAGGGAGGAATTGTTTGAAGATGCACTTGGAGAGGTGGGCAGGGCCAGTCCCATGGGGCCTCCATGGAAAGTATATGGGGTTTTGCTAAGTGCTCTGGGAGGCCATTGGAAGGTTTTGAGTAGAGCAATGCCAGGTTTAAGCAGAAGAATGGCAATGAGAAGAGTAATTTGGCTGGAGCATGAGATTTTTTTTGAACAGCAAAAGTCTGAGGCCTGAAATAAGGACAGACTATGGAGGGCTTTGCATCCTGCACTAAGGAGTTAGGACCTTATGTTCCAGGCCTCAGAGAGCTACTGAGGGTATTTTTAGCAGGAGTGACATGATCAAAAACACTGACCTAAAGGTCATACCTAATTGACAGCATGCTCTCCAACATCTCTCAGGACCTTGTTGTGGGTTTATTCAGCAACTTTTAACACATGTGAAACACCTGCATACACACTGAAACGTGTGTAAACACTTGTCTCCACAAGTGTAGGAAGAGTGCCTGGAACCTCGGCATTAGAATTGTAAAGAAAATTGGAAGCTACCAACTCCATTCAATTAGGAGTGTTTCCGGACTAGCTCTGTGGTGGGCAGGATTCTGAAGCCACATGTGGACCAAGTAGGAGAGGGGATCGTCCTCAGTTAGCCAAGTCAGGATGATACTAGGTCTTTGCTGTCACTGGCTTGAGGCCCTGTCACAAAGTGAGGTCATCTTAAGACAAAGGGTTGGCTCTAGCAATGGTGTGCCAAGGCTCCATGCACTTGTGAAGAAGTGTTAGGGAGCAGAGAAGTCTGGCCTCCTCTCTTGAAACCAGTCCAGTTGAGCAGCTACCTGCTTTACTCTTATGTGAGGCCAAGTCCTGGGCATTACTTGAGCTGAAAGAACAAGAACTGCTTGATTTTATCTCCTCGTATCTAACTGGAGAGTTTCAGAAAAATAAAAAATTACATTTTTCTTTTTATTAAGGAATCTGTCGATACACTTAAGGTGTTTTAAGCCAGGAGATCTTGGTTTGGTTTCCTGCTTTGCCACTTAACTTTCTATGTGACCCTGAGCTACTGATCTCACATATCTGGGGCTCGTTTTATTCACCTGCAAAGTGGTTGCTTTGACTATATCACTCTTTTCCAGTGGAGCAATCCTCTAGGTGTGAGGAAGTAGGGAGGGGCTGGGTGGATGTGGCACCCCACCCCTCCACTTTAGGGCACAGAGTGCACTTATCCATGTTTTCCTATGAGGACATTTCTGCAGCTAGAGTAAGAAAAAAGTTGGGAAAAGTGGGAGGTCTCAGAAGGCCCACTTCTGGCTCTCTTCGAGAAGAATGAAATCTGTCCAGAATATATTCCTGGGGCTAAGACAGTGTGCAGAGTGGGTTTAAGTTTAGGTGGTTGTTTATGGTTTTCACACTAAAGCACTCCAACTCACAAGAAAGCAAGAAAAGTGGGCTGTGCATGGAGGGAGCTGCGAAGCCAAGATTGGTGGGAAGCAGAGGAAGAGGCCAGGCCACACAGGCGCCCTAGACTTAAAAGGCCACAAAACAGGGAAGTCTCCACCCCTTGCCCTGCTCTCTGGGGCTCTAAGCTGCCTGCTTCTGCACAGTTGCTTGGCGCTAAATTTTCATTTCTCTGACTGGTGCCAAAGAACATCTGCACCTAGAGTTGTAAGGCAAAATTGATTGACAGGTGCAATGCCTTGCCCATCGAAATTGGACGACTTGGTTTTCTTTGTGAATGGGAGAAAGGTAAGTGTTGGGTGGTACTACTGTGGCTTGCAGAGACAGCAGGAAACTACTAGCTTAAGGGCAGTTCTTGTCCAGTCAGGGACTAGGAACCCATCCTAATTTGGCCTCTTGCCCACTCAGCCAAGGTCTAGCTTCTGAGAATATGGGGAGGTGGTAAAGCATCAGGGTTAATCACACATGCTTGGCATCAGGCAGTCTGGTTCCAATCCAGCTCTGCCATTTACTGTATAACTTTATGCAAGTTACTTCAGCTCCCTGAGCCTCAGAGTACTCATCTCTGGAATCTACTTCCTAAAAAGATTAAAAGCGAGATGCTTCTTTCATCTAGTAGGAATCCCCTGGGTCCTTATAAAGCACTTAGCACTAGGCCTGATATCCTGGTAGCACTATATCTAGTAACATATCTTGATCCTCAAGCTCAGGGGGACAAGAAATAGAGCTTTGTTTATTTTTATATTTATCAACTTAATTCTTCTCTCGAGACTTCATTAATCAGAATTAGTTGAAATGTAATTGCCGTCAATTTTCAGTCCCCTTTCCCAGGTTGCAACTAAGTTCTAGGGGGAACCTGTGTGACAAGAAGAGTGGCTTCTGCCATTGTCACTCTCCCCTAGCATCCCCCTGTCAGTGCCCACCATCAGGCCGCGCACAGCTGCTGGTTGACCCTCAGTGCCCTCTGCCAGGCCCGCTCTGCTCATGAGCCTCTATCTCTCAGGGGAACCTTTCTGTAGTTCCCAAAGCATGTGGCTTTGCTGTGATCTTGCCACCTCCTCCAAGGCCCCTCTGCACTCCAATCCCACAAACCTAACTGGGATTTGGCCTTGTCCATCCTCCCACCCCAAGAAAGGAGATAGAGTTTTCCTCATGTGCCTTATAACTCTGTCTCCTGTAACCAGCATCCACAGCCAGTAGCCACCATACATTTTTCCAAACCTTCATTCATGAGCTGAGTCCTAACTCACTTGTTCCACCTGCCTAGGCTTCGGAGTCTCCTTTGTCTATTTTCTGTTCCAAATCCCTTCTGAATCATGAGCCCAAAATTATTTTGTAGGGGGAGGGTCTACACAAATTCATGTTTTTCTTCTAGGAAGAAAGGAAGACCCTAACATGAGTAGACCACTGTGTCTTCCTTTCCTGTGATGCCACAGAATGGCTGGAGGTGTTTACAGGACACCCTAAGATAAAGTCAAAGGAAATATCCCCAAATAAGCAAGTGGGAAAGAAGCACCAGAGAAGATCCCTCCAGGCTTCTGAGTGATAATCCTCCACTTTTCGAGGAGAGGGAGGGAGAGATTCTAGTGTACCACCAGAGATACCCTGAGTCCTGAGCTGGGACGAGTCTCACCATTAGCCGCTCTGCCATGAGAGGACTGGCACACTCAGGGACCCCTTCAGGATGACAGCAACTCTCCCCACCTCCCATTTCTGCCACCAACTCTGGAGGTCGCTCATACTATCACGGGTGCTCCCCACGGGAGGTGTCTCAGAAGTGCCAGATGAGCAACTTCCTGTCTAGATGCCTTCCCTCCAGGACCCTGAATTGTACACACACACACACACACACAGCATCCAAGTCTCTCCCCCGTTTCAAATATTCCAAGAGTACAAAAGACTGAGTTGGAAGATTCCACACACACAGGTAATGGAGCAAACGTGAAGAACGTAACTCCCAGTGGGGGCTTACCCAGCGGTGGCCCCCCACTCTAATCACATATAAAAGCATTGTTGTCACACTTGGTAAGTCTCCAGCTCTGTACACATATATGAAACTTGTTTGCCTTCAGAGCAAAAAAATAAATGGGCAAATGAAAGTATTATACCCGAGTGCCTAAATCAAGCAGGCCACAACAGACATTACTGTGGGTCACCCTCTCAATCCCCATAATAAATCTCTTTTCTGTTTCCAACGCAGGTGATAGGAATGTGGACCCAGAAGTCACTCTGCTGACCTTCCTACGAAAGAACTGGATTCTCTTGATCAAAATCTGGGCAGTGTCTATGTTTGCCTTAAAACTTAAGCCTGCTATGATTATGAAAACTAATCTAACTTCTCTGTCTCCAGTCGGCCCCGTTGGCCCTTGCTGTCTCTGCTTTTGGCAGTGGTTTTAAGGATAGTAAGTTAATTGGGCTATTTGGAGAGGATGAAGTTTCCCCAGAGCTTCTTATATCTGGATTTAATAGCAATGAAATAGAAGCTAAGCTCTTTACTTCAGCACTAATTATTCCTTTAAGGGCTCTCCAAATCCCCAGGAGGGTGGTTATATAATCGGGGTTTATGTTGCATGTACCCTGTCCTGGCAGGAAACCAGATTCTCCAGATTCAGGAAGAGCATGTATCATCAGAAAAGATAGTCTTTCCCTACATCCGTTCTCTTATGAGAGATTTTTGCCGACCATTTTATATTCTGAAATTGAGATCTTCATAATGACAAACATTTTAAGTGGTAGGTCTAATGTATCTCTCCAAGAAGCCAAAAGGTAAGTAAAGAAATGGCAGAAATTATAAATTGATGGAGTCAGCCCATGGACAAGTTTTGCTTAAAAGTCCACATGGTGTTTAGTTAGTTATCAATGTTTGAAAATTAGGAAATCTCATATTTTAAAAACTCCAGATTTTTCAGCTTCTCATGAGAAATGAGAAAGTAGTCGTTGCTGCATGGCAGCCGTCTTGCTGAGCAGGGAGGGACTGCCCTAGCGCCCTATCTAGAATGGGCACAAGCTCTCCAGGTACACGCAGCCCACTCCACTCATTTACGTGCCTCTCTGATAAGCATCTGATGTTAGAACTTAGTTTAGATGAACAAGCCTTATGGCTTAAAAAAAAAAAAAGCCAGTGATTCTGAAATCTTCTGAACCAGTCGAATGAATTACATCCAATCTCATAAACTAAACTGGCTGGAAGTGGACCACAATTAGGAAGAAGGAGGAGTAAAGAGAGGGGGTGGAGTCTGAGCCTGGATTTGGGCTTCGACTCTGACCAAGCAAGAGCACAGGGACACGTTAGGTGAGATCTGAAAGTAAGGATGGGAGTTTTTGCCAAAGGCTCAGTCACTTATTTTCAAACCATAAGACTCTTAATCGTAGGAAACAAACTGAGGTTTCCTTGGAGGAGAGGGGGGTGAGGGAATGGGGTAGCTGGGTGATGGACATTCAGGAGGACTTGTGATGTAATAATGAGGGATGGGTATCATATAAGACTGATGAATCATTGACCTCTACCGCTGAAATTAATATTATATGTTAATTAATTGAATTTAAATTTTAAAAATTAAAAAGAAAAAATAAAATAATTAAAAAACAAAACCAATGCAATACAAATGGACAAAACTAGAATACATTGAACTGCTAAAAATAAGATCTTCTCTCCCAATTACACGATTGGGACCCAGAATACCTATAACGAAATAGGGCTTTTCAAAGGGCTTTTACAGCCATCGTCCTATAAGATGTTCATGATAAGCCTGTGAAGATAAAGTAGGTATTACTTTTCCCTCTTTGCAAGTGAGAAAACTGACAGGAAAGGTTAGTCTGTTCAGTATCACACAACTAATAGGATCTAGAGTGGCCTTTACTGAGACCTGGCAGGCAAATGACTTCTCAGACCTACCCTTCACCCCCCAAAAGAAGATCTTCCTCACTAGTGACACCCCAGGGAGGCAGCTGTAAGGGGGTGACATGTGTGCCGTGCATCTTTTCCTTGAACAGCCTCTCTAGTACGCCTCACAGGAACCAAGTACGCCTGTGGAGGAGGAGGGTGTGGGGCCTGCACTGTGATGGTGTCGAAGCGTGACCCTCTGTCCGTGAAGATCAGGTATCCTACCCAGAAGCCAGAGGCCAGGAGGGCTTTGTTTCTTTGCCAGGCTTGTATTCCCATCTGAGTGCAAAATGTCTCTAAGCCCTTGTGATTCTAACCCTCCTTAGATCTTCACCCCCTCTGAAAATTGGATAAAAGCTATGAGCTCTCTACTCAGAAAGTACATAAACTAATTATATTTTGCACATACTTTCAGGGAGATTACAGACCTCCTAAGGCCCATCTGTGTGGGAATTCATACTGCCTATCTAGAGAAGATTTAATAAACACATGCCTCCCGGGGTGAGACCAGTTGAAAAGCAAAGAAGGAGTGTCCAGAAAACTGGGCCCCTTTAAGGTTTCTGGGCTGAAAACAGCCAGATCCTCATAGCAGCTCAATGTGCTCATCCAGGGAGTAAATGCTTGACTTCGGAGAAACATTTATCTTTGGCGGTCATGTACTCCATGTACTTCCTGTCTGCACATGCGTCATGAGCACAGCTCGTTCTAATCACACAATACTCCCTAGGCCATTGCCCTGATTTTTAAGGCTTCACAGTCCTTCCTGTTTTTCTTATTCCCTTGTTGTGTTGATAACATTCACAATAAAGGTGGGGGCAGACAGAAGCCAGCTTGGGACCTTTCGCAACTAGAGCTTCTGGTCCCCCGTCGCCTTCTCCTTTCTCCTACTAAGGTGTCTGGAGTAATCTTTTCATTCACCACCTCAGGGTTTGCTGGCCAAACCCAACACATCTATGCGTCCCATGTTAAGAAACCCCAATTTAGGCAAACCATTCATTTTACAGATGAGGAAACTGAGGCTTAAAGAGATGAAGTGACTTGTTCAAGATCACACAAGTTTCTAGAACAAGGACTTGAACCTCTACATGTTCTGGTTCTGAAGATAATGCCTTTTCTACTGCTGGGCTGAACCAACCCTGCAGAGCAAGGACCTGGGCCACAATTGCATCCTTTAATTAGGGCCAGATTCCAGGACTTGGGCTGCTCCCAAATCCACTGGCCCAAGAAATCAAGAAATGGCCTCAGAACACATGTCATTCCACTGTTGAATGAACTTATCCAGAGATTTTAAAATTAACAAGTAAAAAAATTCTCAAATGTAAACATAAAAGACATAAGTGTACCTTTTACCTGTTATGGGGTCAATATCCTAATGAATACTAGTTGAGGTCCAATCATACTCCTGATGACATGAGTTCATTCCCATTGAGTCCAGACCCAAGTGGGTCTGTATGGGCTTAGAAAGTTTTTCTGAAGTTCAGAATGCCCGGGTTCCCTCTAAGGATCCTCAATTCTTACAGATAGTACAGTGTCAGCAGAGAGGACTCTAAATTCTCCTTCCCTGTCACCCCTCCAGTTCCCCATTCCCCAGGCTGAATGATAGGCTTGGGGAGTTTTCTGCTGCCCTTCTTGGTTCCCAGATTCCCCAAGAGGCAGGACTGTGTTACTCTCCTTGATTTTCCTGTGTTGCTCATATGAAGACACTTCTCCATTACTGCGTGCCTGGTGCCCATCTGCTCTCTGACAGGGCTGCTGTCACCACCATGGAAGGTGTTGGAAGCATCAACACCAGACTTCACCCAGTGCAGGTAAGAGCACACTGTAATTTTCTCACTTCTTAACTTTTTCTTTTTAACCAACACTGTGTTGACTATGCTGCCTGGAGCTTCTAGGTTGTAATCAGGTAAGTAGAAGCTTTGGATGCATATTGATCAAGATAATAACACCTAGGTGATTTAAAGAAAGCTGGAAATCCATCCACATTTTATTAGATGATCATCTTTTTTTCTTACTTTTTCCACTTGAATGATAAGCAGGATTATCAAAACATTGATTGATGCCTATGTGACTATAGGCTGGAGTAAATATTGTACACAGGATATTATTCATAGGATAAAATGTCAGAGGCGAACAAGATAAAACTCAGGATCATCCCCTGTGGCATAGGAGGTCTTGAGAGTAAAATCAGAACTGAGGCTGACTGTACCAGAGCACATGGACAATCATTTCTCCAAATCTTAACTTGAAGCTGGAACAGAGAGGCTGGTTTTAAGCATTGGCAGAAAACACATCGACTCCTCTGTCATTGTCACAAAGAAGGGAGCTAGAGAACTGGGGAATCATAGGTCCAGATCCACCAGGACCGCAGGTGCTTCCAGCAGGAGGAACCCAGAGGGTCTCTGGGTTTCACAACATGAGAATCAATTCTAGGAAAGGTCAGCAAAGGCCAAGGACCCAGCAGAATTTACTAGAATGTCTGGGGAGATCAAAGAGGATAACACTCTGAAATCCAGAACAGGGCTTCCCAAATTTTAATGTGCTAAGAATCATCTGGGAGCTTGTTAAAAATACAGATTCTGAGTCAGGAGTTTTGGAGCAGAGGCCTGAGGTTTTGCACTTCCTGCAAGCTCCCAGGTAGAACCGACACCACTGGTCCATGGACTACACTTTAAATAGCAAGGATCTAGGACACAGACAAAAATCTTGGCTCTTTGAAAGTAGAATTCCTTTTGAGCCAACACAAAAGAATTTAAAGAAGGTAAAGTGAGGTCAACAGTAAATAGTCTCCAAATCAATCAAAAAGAGGTGGCCCCATGGTCAGAATTAAGCTGGACAAGACATGGAGGTATTCAAGAAAATCATTTCTGACACGTACACGTACTTTCCTTATAATTACTGATTTCCAGACAATTCTCTGGGAATAGAAGCTGCACACTGTTAACTCCCAGTTAGAAGGATCTGGGCATCTGAGCTTGAGAGATGATTATAATGATAGAATATGGCTTCTGGGTCACCTCCTCCAGAGCAGCATAGGAAAGGGGATGCTGGCCATCTCTGAGCCAGGGCAGGGGTGCATTGCTCAGGCACTGGGTTCCAGCATGATAAGGGAGGTGCCAGATGGGGACTCTGGTGAGGAGTGGTGACAACAGAAAGGCCTGTGATCATGCATGTGTCCTTCTAGGAGAGGATCGTCAAGAGCCACGGCACCCAGTGTGGGTTCTGCACCCCTGGGATGGTGATGTCCATGTACACGCTGCTTAGGAACCACCCGCAGCCCTCAGAGGAACAGCTCGTGGAAGCCCTGGGAGGTAGGGCTGACATGGAAAAAACCACCACACGCTTCAGGCTGCTCCACCCCACTCACAAGGTCATCTCAGCCCCACTGAGGGGCCCCCTGGTTGTTTCTAAAGTAGCTACAGCTCACCCAGGAGCAGAGAAGAATGGCAGAGCACTTGCTGGAGAGGCCACACACACACATCTTGACACCTGAGTTCTCTATCCAGTGACTTACTTGGCTGCCTTCACTGGGGCTGTCGTAACAGTGTCACCAACTAGGTCAGTTAAAACAACAGGAATTTATTCTTTCACAGCTGTGGAGGCTACAAGTCTGAAACCAAGATGTCAGCAGGGCCGTGCTCCCTCTGAAAGCTCTAAAAGAGGACTCCTCCTTGCCTTTTCTTTGCCTCTGGTGCTTGACAACCAACCTGGCATTCCTTGACGCATCACCCTAGTCTCTGCCCCTGTCTTCTCATGGGCTTCCCCCCCCGTGTCTGTGTCCAAATTTTCCTCTTCTTATAAGGACACTAGTTCTTATAAGGATTAGGATGGACTCTAATCCAGTATGACCTCAATTTAACTTGAGTATATCTGCAGCGGTCCTATTTCCAAATAAGGTCACATTCATAGGTTCTAGGTGTCAGAACCTCAACATATCTTTTTTGGAGGACACAGTTCAACCCACAACAGAGCCCTTCACATATTGAAAGGACGCTTTTAAATTTAAAAATGGGTTTAAGTTACTAGAGAGGAGTACCTACTCATATCCCTTTTGCAGGATCAATAAACACCATTCTCAGGTGTCAACAGTCTCTAAACAAGTCATCTGTTAAATACACAGATTCTTAGATTGAGACCTGAAGGGTGAGCACAGACACCCTCATAATCTACCAGTTGCTTCCTTTGCTCTCTCTGCCCCATTACGGAGAATCACACCGTGCCTTAGAACTGGCCTACGTTTTCTTGTTTTAGGATCCCCTGTATCTTACATAGACACATGTTGAATGAATGAATAAACTAATAGATGAATGCAAGTGAGCTCACCAGATGGATGATCATCTTCTTTAGGACAGAAAATAAAAGTGGGATTGATGTGGTGGGAAGGTTCATGTTCTAAGAAGAGGAAAAAAGCATTGGACGGTCTGGCAGATATTTAAACACTCTCAAAAATAACAACAACAACAAAACCTAGGTCTGTTTTAACTTTGGAAAGAAACTAGTGAAAATAAAGCCTACTGATAAGCATGCTTCTTCTCTGATAAGGTAATCTGTGCCGCTGCATCGGGTATCGGCCAATTCTCGCGAATGGAAGGACCTTCTGTGTGGTGAGTAGGTGACTGGGGACACCCTACAGAGCAAGAATGACAGTGACAGCTGGTCAAGGCTGGGAATACAGGGGTTGAACTGTTTAGATCATCTAAACAGACTATAAGGGAGACCAAGTGAGTTAGTTTCAACTGACTCATGAGAATTTTAGCTATTTGTTGAGGATAGGGTGAAAGTTACAGCACCTCTGGTGTTCCACACCCCACCACAGAGGGCAGGCAGGGATCTAACCAGGCACCCAGATATCTTCCATCACTAGTTACACGAGGCACCAGGACAGCACAGGTAGGAGGGTTCCACACCAAGCAAAGGTGTGGAATTTGCTTTGGGGAGGCAAGGTGAGTTCCAAGAATTCAGACTGGCTGGAAAAGTTTAAGCAGGTAAAGAAACCAAATATGCAGAGTGGAATCCAAAATTCAACCCCAAGTACAAGAGCACAGGGAGTTTCTGTCATAAAGTGGGGTGATGGACGCCTGGGTGGCTCAGTCAGTGAAGCATCTGCCTTCTGCTCAGGTCATGATCCCGGGGTCCTGGGATCGAGTCCCGCATAGGGCTTCCTGCCTGGCGGGAAGCCTGCTTCTCCCTCTGCCTGCTGCTCCCCCGGCTTGTGCTTGCTCTCTCTGACAAATAAATAAATAAAATCTTTTAAAATAATAAAATAAAATAAGATAAAATGGGGTGCTTCACTGGGCTGCTGTGAAGATCAAATGAGAAATCATTTGCAAAGCATGTAGCAAAGTTCTGGCTGGCACTTAGTTGCTACAGTTTCCTGACAATGCTGCTGAGGCAGGATGGATGTGTGTAGTGCTGCCCTTATTCCCAAGCAAGGGGGACTCCACATTTGGAAAGGCCCCTTGCTGGTCCCTCCTCCAGCCATTCTCAGGAGACCATGGAGCCAGGTGACTTGTTCAGCTGGACCCTTCACCCTTTTCTAGACCATGCTCCAGATTTGGTCTTGACCCCATTCCCAGGCCTAACACCAACCTCTTCCTGAGCCCATCTTCCTAGGGCAGATCATAACAGCCAGTGTGTGCCCCCCTAGGTTAGAGGGCAGCCAACAACTGGCTGTTTCTGGAAAGAGTGGACGGAACTGAGGCATTCAGCCCGGGATGTTCACACAGGTGTTTGAGGCCCCTCAGTTCAGAACAGAGCCAGGGTGGGAAGAGGAGGGCAGCAGGCCAAGACCGGGATATCCATTTATACTCTTGCCCTAGCTCCACAAATAGTAGAGGTGGGCCTGGAAGTGGACCAGCAGGTGTATCCCTCTCCCCAGAGCCAGGCAGCCCCCGTAGGTGCATGTCCTAGACTTCTGCTGCCACACAGGGGAGCCAAAGTTGATAAGCTGAGAAATAAAATGAAAAGCTTGTAAACCCATCAAATTGCCAGTGTAAGTGAAACACTTGTCAAATATGAATAAAGGAAGTTAAAGGAAACCTCTCTCCCTCTGGAATATGGATGTTATCCACCTTTCCAGGCACAGACTGGGGATAAAGGCAAAAATGTGGTCGGAGACCCACCTGCAGCCAGCTAGCCCCAGGGACTTTAATGGGTGAAAGAAAGTGGGCCCCAGTGGAAATACCTGAGGCTCACATCTACTAGGTCAAGGGAAGATGGGCTGTTTCTGTTATAGTTGATTCATGGCCCGTCATGGATGCTCTCAGAGCTCTGAGTAAGAGGAAGCTCTGGTCACTGGGCCCAGATGGTTTTGCTTCTTGGACAGTTAGGAAGATGGCAGCCTGAGGCATTTGGGCAGAGAACTGGGGTATCGAAAGAAAGTATTTTACTAGATACTGAGGAGAAATTATTTAAGGAAGAAGACACAAGAAGTAGATTTGGAGGAAATGGGAAATGAAAGAACCAGTAAATGGAAACCTGCTGTAAAATTCGATTGTCCATTCATTCTCAGTCAGTCCCATGCAGATCCCAAATGCCTAGAACACCTGGTTCCAAAATAGGTTTTTTCTCCATCTTTCTTTATTTTTTTCTTTTCTTTTGTCTGAAAGGTCCTTATATAAATGATAACATTCAGTGTTGCTAGATCTTATATATTCTAGAGAATGATTAAATCATCATTGCCCTAAAAGGTATATCAATTAATTCTACCGCTAGGAATTCACCTATGAAAAAATTCAGAGACGTACACAAAGCTGTCCATGGAATGAACAGAAATGTTCATATGTTATTTATAGTTATACAATGAAGGGAAAAAACCTAAGTATATAACAATAGCAAATGTTATGAATATATTATAGAATAGCCAGAAGATGGACTTTTATATGATCAGCAAAATTATATTTTAAAGGCATTTTAGATGTATTATATGTTGACTAATTGAATTTAAATTAAAAAAAATAAAGACATTTTAATGATATGGAAAAAGATTCACAATATAAATGAATAAACACATAAATGAACAAAATAATAGGCAAATAAATGAATAAAAAGGCAAAATAAAAAGTATATTGTACTATAAATATAGTACATATATATAATATATAAAAATATTATCAGTGGAATAGGGTAATTACAGTTTCTTTTATGCTTCTTTATATTCTTTATTATTATATAAATAATTATTATTATACTATATATTATATTTTTCTATATATTATACATCATATTTTATATTTCATATAGTCTATATTATCATTTTATTTTTTTTAATTTATTTATTTATTTGAGGGAGAGAGAGAGTGAGCACATGCACACACAGGGAGAGGGAGAAGCAGACTCCCCTCTAAGCAGGGAGCCTGATGCAGGACTCAATCTCAGGACCCTGGGATCATGATCTGAGCCAAAGGCAGGCACTTAACCGACTGAGCCACCCAGACGACCTAATCATTCTATTTTTGAAATAAAGCAAAAGATCTTGTGATTATCCCTGTTCCAACAGAAACCACTAAAAAAAGTCTGGAGTCACATTTAAATTGCCAAGCCTTTCGAGGCACATGCCCATTTACCTATTAAAAAGTTTTTCATCTGGGCTCCTGGGTGGCTCAGTTGTTGGGTGTCTGCCTTCGGCTCAGGTCATGATCCTGGGGTCCTGGGATCGAGTCCCACATCGGGCTCCCTGCTCGGCAGGAGGCCTGCTTCTCCCTCTCCCACTCCCCCTGCTTGTGTTCCTGCTCTCGCTATCTCTCTGTCAAATAAATAAATAAAAATCTTTTAAAAAATAAATAAATAAAAATAAATAAATAAAAAGTTTTTCATCTAAAGGCATTTCACTGTCCTAGGAGTCAAATGGCTGTCAACAGAAAGGAACAGGAAAATGCTGCTTGGATCCTGGAGGAAATGATTCTTCCTCACTCCGCAGGGAAAGTGACGTGAGTCCCTGTTTGTTTCGTCCTCTCCCTGAGAGTATTGCTTAATGCTGGCCCCGTGTTAAAACTTCGCTTGTTAAGTGTTGATGGTCGTACGCTGCATTACTTTCAAATCTCCAGAGCACATGCATGAATAAAGCACTTTTCATTTGGAACCTGATAACGGGGTGATTCAAAGCCAGCCTCTGATTTTCCCCTTCAGTCTCTGGAGGGATGAAACGAGAAAACATAAACCCACTCAGACAAGAGGAAAAGACCTGCCCCAACTCTGATGAGTCCCATCCTTGGGTGGGAAGGGGGTTTTGTGCCTGGTCCCACTCAGGCAGAGCTGTCCTCTATCACCACGTCCCCTCCTTTGCAGAGAGAGGGCACTGCAACCTCAGGAAGGGAGCCTGTCCAAGTCACGTGGCAAAGGCATGATCACCACAGCTGGGAAGTTTAGCCGGAAACATTGTGGTCTCTGGCTTTGCTCTCTGAGAGATAGTAGTTTCCAAAAAAGACCCACTGCCAAGTTCTTAAAGGAATTACTTAGAGAAGTTGGAATAAGGATAAAATAGGGTCCGCTCCCCGTAGACAAGGAAATCTGAGAGAACAGAGCTGCCCTTAGACAAAACCGAGCCCATCATCCCCCTGCTGTATCTATTTCTATCCCGCACACCTACCTTGTTCCCATTCTCGGCCTCCCACTGTCACCTCATTTTGGTCTGAAGATGTGCAGTGGAATAGAGGGTTATTGCCAAAGAAGGTAGGCTGCACCCTCCATGAACACTTCACAGAGGATCAGTGTGCCTCAGAGGGGTCAATACATTCAATTATCCTCAATTTTGTGGCCTTGGGAAGTCCATCTGGGCAATGACTGGGCTCTGGGGACCATCTGACTCACTTTAACCAAACTCAAAAGAACATGATATTTAAACTGGAATGTGCCCTAATATTCATTTACAGAAACCCAATTATAAAGTGGATCTTAATGGTAACTGAGCTGCATGTCCTTTCCCTATAGGAAAACACACATAGGAAGCTCCATTATAATGAGGTTGCTTGGTGAACATGGATGCAGAGCAATTGGATAATCTTAAGGGTAATACCACAGAAGACCCCTCTCTTCTTCCATCAGGGTAGACCAGCTGGATGGCAGGGATCTGCCCCATGACTGTTCCTTCTCTTAAAGCTATGTTAAGATCTTCTATTATTGGACCAGCTATTAAGCCCTGGCCTAACACCTGTTTGGGGAAACTTTAATTCCTCAGATCTGACTCTTTATATTTTTTTTACATTTTCATTCTCACACACCAGCTTATTCCTAGGTTTTAAAGACATACCACATTATTGCCCCCAGGTACCGCCTACATTTCTAATTCTAGCTAATGCAAAACTGATCATTCAGACGTTGGCCTGTAATTCCTCAATCTGGGGTCTTACTAAGAGCCTTTATAAGGAACAGTTTCTCTTCTGGAACCTGGAAAGACCCCAGAGAAACAGAAAAAGAGGGGGAGTGTTGGACAAATGTCAGTCCATTTCACCTAATTGTCACAAGTTACCCTTCAAAATATACATTATTTCCATTTATCTTTAGAAAGGTTAAGTACCTTTCTTTTGGGAGGGTGCCAAGTTGTGACAGAGCTGAGAATGAACCCAGATCTGCCCCTGATGTCTACCCATGTTCTTCTCCACTACACAGACCTCTAGCTCTGCTTCCCATGGTTCTCCCAGTTTGCTGCACCTTTTTAGGAATGTTTTCTGGGAATAAGTGTTTCCAAAGCTAAAACAGATCTCTTTCAGACAAGATTAGAGTTTGGGTAACTTTCCACTGTGCTTTAGTTTTCTAATTGGTAAAAATGGAGATGATAATTTACATTCTTTATATAATTGTTGTGAGGACTAAACAACAATTATACATGTAAAAGCACTTGGAATGTAACACTCCATAAATGTTAGCTATTGTTATTAAAATTAGTGTGGGTGGTTTATGCATAGGCATGTATGTCTAGAGTCATTTTTATTTAAACTTCAGGACTTCTCAGAGCCTTTAGTATTTTGAATCCTGACCTGACTGGTGAGAGGACAGTGGCTGGGGCCCAGTGGAGTTGAGTGCCAGACTTACTGACCTCTGATAGTTTCTCATATAAGGTCTTGGTGTTTCACAGGGGACTCTTTGAACTATTTCAGAGAATACTCTTTTCCTTAGTATCATATCAGGGGCAAATCAGTATTTCCCTTACAACAAGATTCTTATTTAAAACTTTGATTTGGTTTGAACTATTTCCCATTACTCTCATATTAGGAGAGTAGGAGAATTATGACTATGTTCATTTTGCCTAATTAATGTAAAGAATTACAATGCTGTTTCTGGTTTAGCTGGGCTGACAAGACCATCTTCTGCCCTTTATAAAGATTTGCACAGAGTTATTTGCAGAAGATGAGTTCCAGCCCTTGGACCCTACCCAGGAGCTCATATTTCCCCCAGAACTCTTGGTAAGACAAGTTGGGTGCTTTATGTGTTTGTTCAAATGTCACTGGTTATAAACTAAATTTTATAAAACCACCCTTTCCTTCCTGCGAAGTTGTCAAACTGTGGAAATATTTGATCACATCAAGAAGCCTGTCCCCACCCAGCTCAGCAAGCCCTCCCTGGCTGATGCCCTGGACACACTCCCTGAAGCCTCAGCTGAGGCTCTTTGTTGAATGACTTTGTCACTATGCTCACCGTTGTCATCTGCAGCATCTCTCTGTTGACTGTCCTAGCCATCCAGCTTTGCTCAGCTTCTAACTTGGTCTTCCAGCCACACTAGTACATTGACCCCAAGAAGCACTTCCAGAGCCCTCCCTATGACCTACCCTTCCCTCCATCAGCATCTCTCTCTCCTCTCTGGCATCTAGTGGTCCCATTCTATAAAATACCTATTTCTGAAGGGGTTCTGATGTGTTTATTCACTCATTCAACAAATATCAATCATCCACCAACATGCCAGGCACTGTTCTAGGTACTAAATATAGAGCAAGGAACAAAACTAACACAAAAACCTACCCACAGGGTGTTGTCATCTGGTAGGAGAGACAGGTAATAAGCAAGATGATAGATAAGAGATACAGCATGTTAGCTAATGAGAAGTGGTAAGAAGGAAAAAATAAAACTGAGAAGGGGGCTGGAACACTGACCAGAGAAGATTTCTCTGAGAAAGTAACATTTGAAAAAAGTTCACCAGAAGTGAGGGAGCAGCCTCGACCGTAGGGGAAAAGCAGTCCAGGCAGTGCACACAGCAGGTGCAAAGGGGTCAAGGGTAGGAGAGCACCTGCCCTGACCAAGGGGCAGAGCAAGGTGCAGCCTGGCTGGAGCACAGTGAATGAGGTCGGAAAGCCACTGGGGAACAGACCACAAGGACTTAGGCTGCTGACTTTTACCCTGTGAGAAATGAGAAATGATTAGGGAGGTTGGACAGGGGAGGGGCAGGTTCCTATTAATGTTGTAATGGGATCTGGGATAGTTCTGGCTGCTGGGATGGGAATAGCCTGGCAAGGGGCCTAGGAAGGAACAGCGAGCCTCGTCAGGGTGGTAGATCTATCCTGAGAGATGGTGGTGCTGGACCAGGCTGCCAGCATGTAGCTGAGAAGAGAGTGGATTCTGGATATATTTTGAAGGAGAACCAACAGGATTTGCTGCTGGATGTGATGTGGGGTGTGGAAGAGAGAGAGATCAAGGCTGACTCTGGGACTTTGGACAGCTGGAAAGGGCAGTGGCCATTGACAGAGAAGAGGAAGACCTCAGGAAGAGCAGGGTATTTTTTTGGTGGGGGATCCTTTTTGGGGGCTTCAGAAAGGATGGGGTATGAGGAGCTCAGTTTGGGATATGTTAAATCTGAGATGTCTATTAAACATCTCAGAGGAGACATCAAGTTCTCATTCAGATCTATGAGTTTGGATTTCAGAGGAAAAGTCCAGGCTGATGATGTTAATTTAGGATTATTAGTATAATTATGATTTTTAAGACCATGATACTGAATTGTGTTCAATTGATCTATAATGAAGTATCATTGACAGGTGCCAACCTATATCATCACTTGCCTGCCAAGAACTACATATATTAACAAGTCTTAAGTTAAAGAAGTGAGTATCTAATTATGGAAATACAGGCATTAGTCAATGAGTGTAGTGAGTCTTTTCAGTCAAGTGGACGCCGGGACTCCAGCAGTCTCTCTAGAGGAATATACCTCCCTCGGGGAACCTGGAAGGCAGGTGTGCCCATGTGCAGACACACTTGTCCTTTGCACTTAGAGAATGACAGAGAAGCCAGAAAAACAAACCCTGACCTTTTGTGGAGAGAGGGTTACCTGGATCTCCCCTGGCACCCTCAAGGATCTCCTGGAGCTAAAAGCCAAACATCCTGAAGCCCCTCTCATCTCGGGCAACACCTCAATGGGTGAGTGACTACAGCATTTCTTGCACCACTGTGAGAGCCGAGCTCGACCTCCCATCCCCTACTTCGCTCTCAGTCTACAAACACTCCTTTTTAAGCCTCATCCTTTAGAATAAAAAGGTTATAATATAGTAGTGCATTATAAAAATTATTATAGAAATAATTAGATCATTATATCATATGATATATAATATAATAGTACACAATATGCTATTTCGGGTCATGAATATATGTGATATATATCATATGATATAATGATCCAATTATTTCTATAATTTTAGATATAAATAATATGTGTCAATTGTGTATATGATAATAATATAAAAGCACAATACAAATATTATATTATAATAAAGTGGTCTCCAAAGTTGGGTATACCTATACCCTGGGAGAGTGCAGCATGACCCCCTGAGGTGTGGAGAAAAAATATTAGAGGGTGTTTTTTATCATTTAATTTATCTTATCTTTTTTTATTTTGTTTTTGTTAAATAGTGAGTAGATATAAGAGAAGTTTTAAAATATGTATGGGTATGTTAACAGTGCACACCCAGTTATCACCTACACCCAGTTTAAGAATGAGAACTTTACCAAGAACTTTGAAGGCCCCGTGAGCCCTTCTAACCACATCCCCTACCTTTCCCTTCCTCTCAGAAGCACTCATTAGTCCAAATGTGGTGATGGTCAGTCACTTTCTTGTTTTTACAATTTTACCACATATATTTGAGTCTTTACACAATATGTCATTTATTTTAGCATATTTTTGAACTTCACATAAATAGACTGACACAGTATTCTTCTTCTTCAATTTGCTTTGTTTGTTCAACATTCTTGACCTGAAATACACTCATAATGTTGCAGGTAACTGCTAGATTCCATTGTATGACTGTGTACAATTTGCTCATCCATTCTACTGTTGAACAACATGGAGTGCTGTCCAAGTTTTGGCTATATGAGTATTCTTTTTTTATTATTTTTCATTTTAATTCCAGTATAGTCAACACACAGTGTTATATTAGTTCCAGGTGTACAACACAGTGATTCAACAATTCTGTATATTGCTCAGTGCTCATCATGGTGAATGCAGTCTTTAATCCCCCTCACCTATTTCACCCATCTCCACCCACCTCCCCTTTGGTAACCATAAGTTTGTTCTCTGTTGTTAACAATCTGTTTCTTAGGTTGTCTCTCTCTCTTTTTTTGCCCTTGCTCATTTGTTTTATTTCTTAAATTCCACATATGAGTGAAATTACATAGTACTTGTCTTTTTCTGACGGACTTATTTCACTTAGCATTATACCCTCTAACTCCACCCATGTCATTGCAAATGGCAAGATTTCATTCATTTTTATGGCTGAGTAATATTCCATTGTGTATATATATATCACATCTTCTTTATCCACTCATCTATTGATGGACACTTGGCCTGTTTCCATAATTTGGCTATTGTAGCTAATGCTGCAATAAACATAGGGTGCATGTATCCCTTTGAATTAGTATTTTTGTGTTTTGGGGGTAAATACCCAGTAGGGCAATAACTGGATCGTAGAGCAGTTCTATTTTTAACTTTTTGAAGAAACTCCGTACTGTTTTCCACAGTGGCTGCACCAGTTTGCATTCCCACCAACAGTGCGCAAAGGTTACTTTTTCTCCACATCCTCACCAACACCTGTTGTTTCTTGTGTTTTTTATTTTAACCATTCTGACAGGTATAAAGTGATATCACACTGTAGTTTTTATTTGCATTTCCCTGATGATGAGTGATGTTGAGCATCTTTTCATGTGTCTGTCAGCCATCTGTATGTCTTGTTTGGAGAAATGTCTGTTCATGTCTTCTGCCCATTTTTAACTGGATTATTTGGTTTTTGGCTGTTGAGTTGTAGTTCTTTACACATTTTGGATACTAACCCTGTATTGAATATGTCATTTACAAATATCTTCTCCCATTGAGTAGGTTGCCTTTTTGTTGCTTGTTTCCTTTGCTGTGCAGAAACTTTTTATTTTGATGTAGTCCCAATAATTTATTTTTGCTTTTACTTCCCTTGTCTTGGGAGACATATCTAGAAAAATATTACTACAGATGATGTCAGAGAAATTACTGCCTGTGTTCTCTACTAGGATTTCTATGGTTTCAAATCTCACAATTAGGTTTTTAATCCATTTTGAGTTCATTTTTGTGTATGGTGTAAGAAAGTGGTCCAGTTTCATTCTTTTGCATGTTGCATGTTGCTGTCCAGTTTTCCCAACACCATTTGTTAAAGAAACCATCTTTCTCCCATTGTATATTTTGCCTCCTTTGTCAAAGGTTAACTGACCAAATAATTGTGGGTTTATTTCTGGGTTTTCCATTCTGTTCCATTGATCTATGTGTCTATTTTTATGCCAATACCATACTATTTTGATTACTACAGCTTTGTAATATAATTTGAAGTCTAGAATTGTGACACCTGCATTTTTTTTGTCTTGTTCAAGATTGCTTTGGCTATTCAGGGTCTCTCATGGTTCCATACAAACTTTAGGATTGTTTGTTCTAATTCTGTGAAAACTGCTGTTGGTATTTTGATAGGGATTGCATTAAATCTGTAGATTGCTTTGGGTAGTATAGACATTTTAACAATATTCTTCCAACTCATGAGCATGGGATGTCTTTCCATTTCTTTGTGTCATCTTGAATTTGTTTCACAAGTGTTGTATAGTTTTCAGAGTACAGGTCTTTCATCTCTTTGTTTAAGTATATTCCTAAATATTTTGTGATTTTTGGTGCAATTGTAAATGGGATTGCTTTCTTAATTTCATTTTCTGCTGCTTCATTATTAGTGTATAGGAATGCAATGGATTTCTATACATTGATTTTATATCCTGCAATTTTACTGAATTCATTTATCAGTTCTATGTTGTTGTCATTTTTGGTGGAGTCTGTAGGGTTTTCTATATGTAGTATCATGTCATCTGCAGATAGGGAAAGTTTGACTTCTTCCTCACCAGTTTGGGTGCCTCTTATTTCTTTTTGTTGTCTAATTGCTGTGTTTAGGACTTCCAGTACTATGTTGAGTAAAAGTGGTGAGAGTGGACATCCTTGTCTCATTCCTGACTTTAGGGGGAAAGCTCTCAATTTTTCTCCATTCAGTATTGTTAGCCGTGGGGTTTTCATACAAGGCTTTTATTATGTTGAGGTATGCTCCCTCTAAGCCTATTTGTCAAGGGTTTTTATGATGAATGGATGTTGTACTTTGTAAATGCCTTTTCTGCATCTATTGAAATATCATATGGTTTTTATCCTTTCTCTTATTGATGAGATGCATCATGTAGATTGATTTGTGAATATTGAGCTACCCTTGCATCCCAGGAATAAATCCCACTTGATGGTGGTGAATGATTTTTTTAATGTATTGTTGGATTCGGTTTGCTAGTATTTTGTTGAGGATTTTTGCATCCATGTTCATCAGAGATATTGGCCTGTAGTTCTCTTTTTTAGTCATGTCTTTATCTGGTTTTGGTATCAGAGTGATACTGGCCTCACAGAAGGAATTTGGAAGTTCTTTTTTATATTTTTTTGAATAGTTTGAGAAGAATAGGTATTAACTCTTCTTTAAATGTTTGGTGGAGAGGCATCTGGGTGGCTCATTTGGTTAAGCGTCTGCCTTCAGCTCAGGTCATGATCCCAGGGTCCTGGGATCGAGCCCTGCGTCAGGCTCCCTGCTCAGCCAGGGGCCTGCTTCTCCCTCTCCCTCTGCCGCTCCCCCTGCTTGTGCCCTCCTGCTCTCTGTCAAATAAATAAATAAAATATTTTAAAAATAAATAAATAATTCAGTGTTTGAATTATTGAATTATTGAAGCTCTCTGGTCCTGGACTTTAGACTGTTGGGAGTTTTTTGATTATTGCTTCAAATTGCTAGTAATTGGTCTGTTCAAATTTTCTATTTCTTCCTGCTCCAGTTTTGGTAGGTTATATGTTTCTTATTATGAATATTCTTATATATGTCTCCTGGTTCCAATGTGTAAGAGCTTTCTAAGAACCTCCCATCCATTCTATTTTCTATTTTTATATACATATAGTAAATGTATAAATAAGTAAATACATGTACTGGGAGAGCATCCTTATAAATTTACTTTGCAGGACATATAGATACTGCTTTTACATCTATATACATTTATTATAAATTTTTAAAAAATTAGTATCTGAGTATTTTTATGAGAAACTTTAAATGCCAAGAAAGGGCATTTTCTCTTTCCTAAATCTCTCTAAAATACATATATTTACTTTTCAGGACCTGCAATGAAATATCAAGGACACTTTCACCCAATTCTCCTCTCTCCTGCTAGGATTTCTGAGCTCAGTATGGTATCCAAAACAAGGGATGGTGAGTTCCTGGTATTCTTAGTAAAACATTAGTGAACAAATCCCTGCACAAAATTTACACTTACCAAGGAGCTTGGAACCTACTTACACATTGTCTTGTCTGGCCTATTTCTAACTCTTCATCATTTTTCTGATGTGATATAATATCCCTACCATAAAACCTTACTATCAAAAGCTTTGCACAGAATATGAGGTATTCAGATGACATCATTTAAGACCTTGTAGTCACTTGCAGGATTCTTGCCTATAAAATGCCATGGTGACCCAAAGACAGTAAATTTGCAGTGTAATTTTGATGGGAAGACAGCAAGAGAACTAGTGCTATCCATCAGTTGAATAATCAATTTCTAGGAGGGAGGATGTTTGCAAGGAGAAAGTAGGAGAAATATTGTCTGGCGCCCAAATGCTACTTATTTCATGTGGACAATGGCAAGTGGTAAAATGAGACAAAGACCTGCCCAGGCAAGCACCCCAGTCACTTACAATGTCCTTAAGGGACATTGTGGCCCACTACATGCAAATACTACTACATCAGGCAAGGTGGTACTCACAAAGTAGGAAGAAAACCTGCAAGACTTTGCCTTCAAGATGCACAGCAAACCCTTTGATAAAAGGAATCTTATTTTACTCCTTTCCTCATCCCCCAGAGCTCCTAACATGTAAGCACATGCATGTAAGTACTATACATGCATATAAGTGCTCAGTTCAATGACTGACGGATGAGTTAATGGGAAAAAAATGAATGAGTAAGTGGGTCAGGAACTTGAATTTATGATACAGTGGTAATGATAACTTTCTTAACTTAGGCAACAAGGAGGTGGACTGAACTGAAAGCTGAGTCAAGACTGACTTGTAGGCCATTGTGTGCTTGTGGGCATCAGTGGTAGGAATTTGAAATATCATATATGGTTTCCCTAATCAATTCAGTGGTAGGCAGGGGAGGGGACCTGCCTTGGCTGTATCACTGCCATCCAGGAGTCCCACCTTCCTGGCTCCTAACCAGCATCAGCTGAAGTCAGACTGTGCGGCAGACCAGCAAGCATACCTATCCCTGGCATCACCCTACTCATTTGCTAGGGAAGGGACCCTTCCTGGTTTCACCCAGCACTGGGGTTTGCAGCTCCAGCCTCGGGATGACTCAGGTAGCACACCTGAGTGTCACTCAGAAAACAAGGGGAATGTGCTTAGATTCACTCAAAATCTTGGTGAGAACAGAAGGGAGAGAAGAGGGAGTGGTAGAATGGGTGGATTGGGAGCAAAGGTAACCAATATAAGCAGGAGGTTAAGGCAGGAAAAACTTTCCCTAATCTTCAACCCAGGTATTATTTAGCCCAGTTTTCAGACTTCCCTAGCACCCCAACCCTGCCTTCAAAAAAAACCCCTTAAACAGAATAAATAAATGAAAATAAGCTGCTCTGTTCAAAGGAGAGGGGAGACTTTTCACCATCCCCCTATCACTGAGCCCCCTTATGTCTGTGCCTGAGAGGACCCTTCCGAGCACAAATCAGATTCCTCAGGGTTACCCAAATCCCTCATTTTTAGGAATTCCTCATGAGGAAGCCAAGATGCAAAAGGAGAGTAGACTTGCCGAAGGTCCACAAACTGGCTAGTGGCCAGGCCACCAAGCCACACATCTCCCGTTTCCGCTTGAGAACTCTTTTCCTTACTTGATGAGCCTTTCCCCATCCCCCAGGCTCACCCTGTGGCCTGCGCAACTGGTGGTTGGAATGGACTGCTCAGTTTGGATCTGCAAAGTAGAGCCAGATTCTGAAATCTGAGGAAGCGGTAGGCCTTGTCAGGCCCTCTTAAAATTAAAGTGTGAGTACCCTCTAGTGGCAGAATGTTCCTCCAGGAACTTTTCCCAAGATTCCCAAATTTTTCCTAAGGCCCGGAAGAATGCCAACATTGGTGGGGGAGGGGTACATCGGAGCCAAGTGTGTGTGTTCCCCCCTCCCAGGACCCCTCCCACGGGAAATAAATTTCTGTGAAGGTTTATATTTGTTTAAATTTTGAATGCTGATCCAAATCACGTACATGTTTGACTCAGTGTACATTTTTTTCCCCTCAAAATCTTTAGTATAGTAAGTGCTCCAGAAAGTCCCCACCTCTTTTTTTTTTTTTTTAAGATTTTATTTATTTATCTGAGAATGAGAGAGAAAACACGAGAGGAGAGAGGGTCAGAAGCAGAAGCAGACTCCCTGCTGAGCAGGAAGTCCAATGCGGGACTCGATCCCGGGACTCCAGGATCATGACCTGAGCCAAAGGCAGTCACTCAACCAACTGAGCCACCCAGGTGCCCCAGTCCCCACCTCTTTATACCATAGACCCATGCACTCTGAAAAACATGAAGTTAAAACAAAACCCACATTCTGAGAATAAAAAAAGTCGAAACTCTTTCCAATTATACAGGCTAGGTTTTGTGACCAAAGATGGAATAAAATGTGAATAGGAATACAGTAAGTAGAATTTTCTCAGTACAGCCATTTTACTCTCCCCTGGGGCTGAACTGCCCTATTTTACCTGTGTCAAATAAGAGACAGGCTGATCTGTACGATGCTTCTGACCTTAAAATAACAACAACAACAACAACATCTTTTTGTTTCTGATTTCTTCCCGACTAATAAGGCTCTGGGTCTATAAGGTAGGAGGGATTGCATGACAGGAAACAAGCTTGGACTTCCCAGTGCTCCTGAGAGCAAAAGTATGGCCAGGATTTTTGCAGAAGTTAAAGACCAAGCTCCGATGGACCCTGTGGTGATAGGAAGCAATGAACCATCGCTGATGGGTCTGGGATGGGCTCCTATGTTACAGGGGCCTTTTATGAACACTGGGCAGCAACAGAGTGAGGACTCTAGGTCAAGACATTCCAGGGGGAGGAGAAGTTGAGTTATCTTCAGGCAAGATTTGCTTCATATAAGGATAATAAGGAACAGATAGTGGTTTCCCTAATCAATTCGGTTAGCTGTGATTATTGAAGCTGCAGGTATGTTATGTGTTATATGGGTATGTTGGCAGGGGTAGGAGAAGTATTGTGCCAAGTATATTCTTAATATTGAGAAAAGATAAAGCTATGCGGGAGGGTAAAATATTCTCAAAGATTAATCCACAAGAGAAAAATCAAAGCCTAGCCTGCAACCTGATGAAAACAGACTAACTAAAGTTAGAACCCAGCCCTGGAAGTGATGTCAAATCAGACTCTATGTGTGGGCAATTCATTCTACAAATGCAAAGAAGTCAAGGATTAATTTTAAAAGGCCAACTAAGTGATCCCTTGACAGTTTGGGTGACTTCTTCACTTTCAAAGATTGATCTGGACGCTTTTCATCTCTATTGTAGGGAAACCCCAAAGCTGGTGCTAATAGCCTGCCAATATGCACAAGTATGCCTGCAACACCTGTTCATTTTTAATTACTTCCTTGTCAGGTAGCAAATAGCATTGCCCCAATCCTCCTGGATGCTCTCCGATCACTCCCACTTCCCTGGACACTCCCTGGGGACCCCCGATGTTCTCACACCCAATAATACCCAACATAATATCTGGGGAAGCGCCTCAGGAGCTGTGTTCATTCTGATGGGCTGGCACCCTCGTGGGACTGGTTGTCAAGGATTTGAGTATCAACCCTACCTGTAGAGGTGCCAATCGGCAGTCAAAGCATTATTGATTATAGACAATGATCTAAGTGATTGAAAATCCTTGGGCATTATTTTAATGCCATCAGATTTATTCCCCTTAGGCACAAACAGCTTTGCATAGTTTCACTGTGGCCAGTCAGGAGAGTTCTAGTGAGGTCTGCCACCTGCTAGTTGTCACTCTCATTCCTTCTTTCTAGCCTCTATTTCCTTGCATTTGTCTAAAGAAGAGTATAGACCAGCCCAGGGATTGCTCCTGGCTGCACAGAACTACCTGGGGAGCCTTTGAAAAAGCCCCGGGTCTGGAAATTCCAACTTAAGTGATTTGGGAGTAAGGTATCTGTGCTGTTTTGAGTTCCCAGTGATTCTCTGTGCAGCCAGTGTCGGGAGCCAATGCACCAGCTGAACGCGACGGCCCCGGCACCATGATTATAATTCAGTTGCTCCTCCCATGTCACCTATAAAAGCAATTTGCTTCCTAGGACTGACAATAGGTGCTGGCTGCAGTCTGGCCCAAGTAAAAGACATTTTGGCTGAGCGAGTTTCCGAGCTTCCAGAGGAGAAAACTCAGACATACCGAGCCCTCCTGAAGCACCTGAAGAGTCTGGCATGCCAGCAGATCCGGAATACGGCAGTATGTTCTAGGGGCCAATCATCAGACACACTGGACCTATTTCTTAATTTCACTGCAGTGTTGAAATAAGCTTTGGCAGAATCAGTATGCAAAAAGTTCTCAGCAGATTGAAACAACAGGCACAATAAATAAATACTTAATATTTAACAAACATTATTAAAAATATATTTAAAAGAGGACTCTAAGTCAAGTTCAACATAATAGCCAAGTAGCAATGTAGGTCATAGTTTTGCTAATTTCATGATAAGACTATCAAAGAACGCAGAATCATGGAACACTACATCTAAAACTAATGATGTAATGTATGGGGATTAACATAACAATAAAAAAATAAAAAAAAAAAGACTATCAAAGAACGTAATTTAGTTTTAGGCTGCATTAACAGAAGTATAGTACCTAAAATAAGGAGGGTAGCCTTCTCTACTCCATACTGCTCAGACTGCAGCCGGAGAATAATGCTCAGATCTGAGAGTCACACTTTAAAGTCTGGCTGTTTCTGAAGAAGAAGAAACAGAAGAGACATGGGTTTTCAAAATAGGCATGCTCCCTCGCTACATATCCCCAAATGGTATGTTAGAAATCCTTGGGATATGGGGAATTAAGGGAGGATGTATTTCTTTTGAAAATGCTCTTCCAGTGATTCCTCCTGTCAAGAACTCTAACACCTTGCAGCCTGGTGAGGAGATGGTGGCAGGAGAGTGCGGGGCTGGAAACCACATCAGAAAGAGGAATGGTGGGGGTCAGAGGGATCATGAGCACTGCCTTCAAATATGTATAGATTCACAAGGGCAGATGTGATTGACTTCATATAATCACAAAGGGTAGAAGTGTGACTGATAGGGGAAAATCCAGAGAGGCAAATTCAGCTCAGTGGAAACAAGAACTGGAACATCAAGCTGTTCCTAGAGGAATGGGGGTTCCCTGTCCTCACCCATATTCCAGCCCAGACCACAGCAACCCAAGGTGGTCACTGGAGGCACCATCACTATGTAGAGAGGAGAGTATGAAGTAGAATGGCCAGTCATTTCCCTCCCAAGTTCTGAGAGGCTATAGGTTCAATCAGACACCAGAAGAGGAAAAGGGCGGCTCTCCCTCAGTGGTGTAGGAGCCCAGAGCCCCAACACACCCACGTGGGTGCTGGCCATGTTGCAGGCAGTGTTAGATGCGGGACAGTAGCTCTGTAGGCAGTACCGAGCCACCTGTGCTGTGGCCAAGGCTGAGCAGGGGGTGGTTCACAATGGGCCACAGAGTCCCACTACCTGGGTTTGAATCCCAGTCCTGCCCCTTCCTAGCTGGGAGACCGGGCTCAAGTTTCATAATTCCTCTGTGCCCAGGGTCTTCATCTGAAAAATGGCATCAATTTCACCGGGTTGTCGAGAGAAGTGAGTGAATGTGTGTGAAGAGGTAGAATAGGCCGAATGCTGTGTGAGTGACAGTTACCATCAGTTCCTCTCCCGATCCAAAGGAGTGGGTGGGAGGGGCCTCCCAGATGCTCGGAATGGAGTCCCTCTGCCAAGAAGAACAAGACTCCTTGTGACTGGGAGAGGACCTTAAGCAGGTGCCCAGGGGGCATAGGATCTGAGGGACAGAATGACCCAGGTTATAACTATCTCTTCTTAGTCCTTAGGGGGACATATTATAAGCTGGCACTGCTATTCGGATCTGAATCCAATTTTGGCTGTGGGCAACGCTACCCTCAATCTGCTGTCAGAAGGTAAGCTGCCCCAGAACATTCTGAACAGCACCGAAGACTTTCTGTCTTTCTTTCTAGGGAATGGCTGTAAGTGAGAGCCCTGGTCTGGGGCTCTTAGTCCACGTGGGGAGCTCGGGCTCCTGGAGGAAGGCACACGGATGCGAGGGAGTGGCTGGCACCACAGCCCACACCCACACGACACTCCCCCCACAGCCGCGGGACAGCCAGGGGAGGTGAGCAGAGTCCCGGCTGGAAGCGCTCTGCTGCCTGAGGGCCGCTCCCTCCTCCTTTTCATGCCCACCCCTCTCAGTTGCTGTGTGTGAAGCCACGAGGCCAGGGAGGACACCCTGCAGACACCACGGGCCCTCTGGGGACAGGAGGAAGGGAATGACTCATTCTACATGCTGGCTGAGAACATCATTCCCTTGGGGCCGTTCCATGCAAAACTACCTTTGTCTCCCTGGAAACGCTCATCTCCCTTGGTGCCTCAGCTGCCAGGCCGATGCCGACACGCCCATTTCCTGGGCACTAACCATGGCCCAGGCCGTGCCGGACATCGGGCACACAGCCTGTCTAGTCCATCCAACCGCCCCACTGAGGCCACCTGTGGAGACAGACACGGATGGGAACCATTGCCTGCAACGGGCTGCCTCCCCGGGGTTCTGCTTCTCCCTGGGATCACTCCTGCCCGTCCCTCACCCACAACCCACCAGATACCCACTCCTTCCACCCACCCCACTTGGCCGGCCAGTCATTCACCCCTCCTATGGGCAGCGGGACCCAGGGGCTAGGCTGCAGGGAAGCAATCACAATCTGCTCCCCACGTGAACTTTGGGGCGAGGTAAGCCTCTCCAGGGGTTTGTTGGCCATAATATGAGCCCATCCCTAACTGGTGGGAAGTGTTGGGAGAGGTTTGTGCAGAGGAAAAGCTCTCTGTGTCCCCATTCAGCTTTGCATGGGGCCCACCCAGGAGGGAGGAGCCGAAGGGCCTCACCCTGGCCTGGCCCTGTCACCCATTTTCCTCAGCCCTCCCCGCCTATGGTCCAAGACAACCACAGCCTGACCCCCAAAGAGCAGGAAAGAAGAAGCAAGACTCTGGAGCATCAGGATAGCAAGGAGAGCCCGGCCCCCATGCAGAGCCTTCTGCTTCTCCAGTAGTAGTAGTGCTAGCCGTGGTGTTCTCCTACTGGGGTGTTGGTCATTACCTTTGGCTTAAGGTCTCTGTTTGCCCAGCTTTGCCCAAGCCACCTCCACCCTGAGCGCAGCCTCGCTCCGGCAAGGCTGGTAGATGAGCTCGCTGACCCCAGCAGCAGGACAGGCCAGCGAAGGTCAGCAGGGGCTCCTTTGGGGCGCTCCTGCCTCCTTCGGGACCCCCCTACGTTCCAGTCAGCGTCTTGCCACCTTTGTCAGGCACAGAACCCAGCTCAGACTCTCTGGGCTGCAGTTTGATCTCCTCATGGCCCTGCTGTGCAGCCACAAAGCACGTTTTATAACGGGGCGGGGGGTGGGGGGTACTGCTCTGACGGCTAAATTGTAACACTTGGGCTGAAAGGAGGTTTTGTGCATTGCTCACTTCATTTTAAGGGTGTAGGTATCCAGCAGCAGCAGCAAGAACAAAAAGCAAATGCTGTGATTTGAACTCTGCTGCTAGTGGAAATAAACCCTGTCTCTGCCGAAGCTACACCTTATCTTGATCATAGCCCTGAACGAGTTCGGTTTAGGCAACCAGCCTCTGCCTAAAGATGAAAACGGCACAGGCCTGACCGGCCTTGGCGGGGGCAGGAGCCCCAGCTCACAGAGCACGTGAATGCCCAGGGGCCTCCGCCACCCGCTCTGGGCGGAGGAACGGGGGAGCCCTGGACTGTCACGCACGCAGATGGCTGCCTCACTCGGGGCAGAGGAAGGTGACCTTTTCCTCTTTGCTGCTGACATTTAAGAGTACAGAATACTCTGGCATTCCTGTCGCAACTATGCAGAAATGTCATTTTCTTCAACAGAAGGTACGCACCAGATTCCTCTAAACGAACATTTTCTTGCCGGGTTGGCAAGTGCAGACCTTAAGCCAGAGGAAATTTTGGAATCTGTGTACATCCCTCACTCTCAAAAGGTAAGAATTCTGCTGGCTGCTTCTGAGAGTTGTTTTTCCCTTTCCGTAACTGAATGCAGTCATCTTTAGAAATCTGAAAACAGATGGAAGGAAAATAACTCTGCCCTGAAAATCTGTTTCCTGTCCACTGTGGGCTGGCCCAGCACCAAAGCTCTCAGACGCCCTCGGGTGAGCAGCTCTGGGGTGTGGATTTGGGGTTGTTGCTTCAGCTGTGGGGTGGGGCCCGCTCAGGGCATGCGGTTGTGTTTCCACACCCCTTTGTGTCTACAGATCAACTCTGGGAGGCGGAAATTAAAGCTCTCCAGCTATGGAATGAGCTTCTCTGCCTCACCCACAAAGAGGTGGACACTAGGGCTGGGCCTCCCCACTTCCCACTCTAGCTAACTCCAACAGCTCAGAGAAACACGAGGGCCTCCAGAAGTTTGCTAACACAGGATATCTGGGGTTGATGTGACCACCCAGCTGGCTGTGGCATGGGTCCTCTGTCCTCACTCAGTGTTCTGTGTCTCTCCCCAAAACTGTACCTGAGTCCAGTCTTCCCAGAGAGAGGCAATTCAACACACACACACACACACACACACACACACACACACACACACTTATCAAAAGCCAGGAGTTAGCTTGGTTATGCAGGAAGTCTTATATTAAGTCATGTTTTCAGCCATGTATGACCTTCATTTATTTTTCCTTTGCAATGGAAACTTTGAGATGTATTCTAGTCAAATGTGCATCTGCCTAAAGGCTCCAGACAGAAAACCAGGCCAACTCAAGCACAGTGCCCTCAGTGGCCATACAGTTGGAAACACACTTGAGACACAGGTCATCGCCATTAACCTCATGTCAAAACATCCACAGTCACGGTGCCAAAGAGCCCAGTGAGGCAGCCGTCACCCTCCTGACTCTTGTTCCTGATTCAAGAGTCCCTAGTCCACTGTCAGAAAGTTCTAGGCGACTCCTTTGTGACCTTTGCAAAGTGGAAACGTAGTCATTTCTACAAACCAAGAAATGTGGTGGGTCTCTTTCACACTGTAAGCAAATTGTATTTAAAAACACAAATTGTTGGGGTGCCTGGGTGGCTCAGTCATTAAGCGTCTGCCTTCGGCTCAGGTCATGGTCCCAGGGTCCTGGGATCGAGCCCCACATCGGGCTCCCTGCTCCGGGAAGCCTGCTTCTCCCTCTCTCACTATTGTGTTCCCTCTCTCGCTGTGTCTCTCTCTGTCAAATAAATAAATAAAATCTTAGAAAACAAACAAACAAACAAAAAAACCACCTGTGCTGGGAGGGCTCCTCCAGCCTCATGAAGATGGAGGCATCTGGAGACTAGAGGGAAGAGCCCCTGGAAACAGAGCACATGGACATGATCCAGGCATCTTAGCCTCGGGAAAAGTGCACAGTGATCCCTGTTCCTTGAGGGTGCCGGGCACTGGGGATGGGCCTTCGGGAGGGCGCCATTCTCACTTTGAGTGAGAAGGCAACCGACTTGCCCCCTAGCTGTGCCAAATGTCTTTTGTGTCCTCTTAGATTGAGTCTACGTGCTGAATTAGTAGCACCAAGAAGCAGAAGCCATGCTCTTAGTTTCCACATGTCAAACAACCCCAAATGGTTCTTGTCCCCTCAGTGGGAATTTGTGTCAGCCTTCCGACAGGCTCAGGGCCAGCACAATGCCTTGGCCGACGTGAGTGCTGGCATGCGGGTCCTCCTCAAGGAAGGCACAGACACCATTGAGGACCTGAGCGTCTCCTACGGAGGGGTTGGGGCCGCCGCGGTCAGCGCACAGAAATCCTGCCAGCAGCTTGTGGGGAGGTAGGCAGCGAACCCTGCACCCCAAAGGTGAAACCTGGTGTCAAAAAAGAAAAAAAAAGGAGGAGATTTGGCTCTGGCCAATGTTGTTAAAAGCCCTGGAAGGAAGGAAGATGGAAAGTCCTGTACGTAGAACACACTGCTTGTTCTCTCTGTAATTTTGCTAATGAATCAAACCTCACTTGACTTTGGTTAACGAGGGGCCGCGCCCTGGGTGCGGGATACAACAAACCTGGCCCGGGACTGCATTCAGCCTCCGTCCTCACGCGCACACCAGCACGCCAGCAAACCCACACCAGCCGGTGTCCGAGGGCACCTATTGCTGCACCTGCTGCTCGGGAACACTTGATTTCTTCCTCAGTAAGGGCCTGTCCAGTTCCCAGTGGAATTGTCCCTAATGGGCTCTTTGTCTAATGCCTGGTTCCAGCGTGGTCTGGCTCTCGGACATGCTTGGTTCATGCTGCAATGAAAGGGTCCCATCCTCACCCTGCCATGACCCTCAGGCCCTCGGTGCCTGGATTTTCCTGAAGGGCTTGGTTAGGGGATTTCTAAGTTCCTTCCAACTCCTTTCTTAGACGTTCACTGCGTGTCCTGAGCCGCACAGCCTCTAGAGAACCTAGAGAACCTTTAGGTTCTCTAAATTGTCACTATCCAATATCTAGTACATGCTGTGCTGTTGAAACTGCCCTTGAACTCGTCCCTTCCCCGCCTCCAACCCCACCAGGCCCTGGAATGAGCTGACGCTAGAGGAAGCTTGCAGGCTGCTTCTGGAAGAAGTCTCCCTCCCAGGCTGGGCTCCAGGGGGCAAAGTGGAATTCAAGAGGACTCTGGTGGTCAGTTTCTTCTCCAAATTTTCCTGGAAGTTCTGCAGGAACTGAAGAAGCTAGGAAAGCTGATGCCTGTAAGTGCTCTGGCGTTCCTGTGCTCCTTGCAGCCAAAAGCTCCCAGCTTTTCCACTCCTTGTGCGACCTGTCTTGTGGGCAGCCTGGGCCGTTACCTGTCACCTGTTCTGAGGCGGGTCTTGTCAGCTCCCAGCCATCCCCCCTTCGGGGATTCAGCCCTGGAGGGCTGCTACATGAGGCTCAGGATGCCAGGCTGTCTGCATTTCTTAGACGTTCACTGCGTGTCCTGAGGCGCACAACCTCACCGGGCCCCTGCCTGCAGTGTGCAATTTCTTTTTCTTTTCAACTCAGCTTTACTGCAGTATAATTACATATAACAAAATGCACCTATTTAAACCCAATGAGTTTTAACAAATGTGCAAACCCACATAGCCACCGTCAAACAAGGTATAGAGCATTTTCATCACCCCCAAAAGTCCCTTTTGGCCCCTTTGCAGTCAATCCTCCCAGCCCTGCCTCCAGGCAAACTCTGATCCGCTTCATGGCACTAGAGATTAGGTTTGCCTGTTCGGAAATTTTATATTCAATATAAAATGTAAGATAAAATTTTATTTTTCAAAAAAAATACTAAAATTTATTTGTATGCAAATATTTAAGTGGCTTCTTTCTTGACTTTCTTTTTTTTTTTTCTTTTTTTTAAAGATTTTATTTATTCATTTATTTGAGAGAGTGAGAGAGAGCACATGAGAGGCGGGAAGGTCAGAGGGAGAAGCAGACTCCCCGTCGAGCAGGGAGCCCGATGCGGGACTCAATCCCGGGACTCCAGGATCATGACCTGAGCCGAAGGCAGTCGCTTAACTAACTGAGTCACCCAGGTGCCCCTTTCTTGACTTTCTGATTATAAATTTCTGGAATAAGTTAAGCAAAGCAAAACGTTCTCTCACTCTCTATTTCTTTCCCTGACTATGAATATAACTCTCACCCTACCTTGTACCCCCTGTTTCCAACCACACCCCACCCCAACACTCCTCATGTCACCCAAGGTGCCCAATTTTCATTTACTCAGAGGTAGACCCTCACCAACCACATTCACCAGGGCAGTCATCCTGCCATTTAATTTCTGAATCAAAACACTTGGTGTGTTTCAGACAGCCAGAGAGCTTTCCCAATTTTACTGCTGAATTGCTGCGTTGTTGAGAAAAGCAATCAGGATGTGGGCTCTTCTGTGTACAGTGAACTCCATTTCATTCTGGGATGGCTGATCCAGTCCCCAATTTTCTTTCATCTCCTGCCTTTACCCAGCTCACTGACAGGTCTCTCCATCCTCAGGGTGACTGGAGGATCAGATTCAAATCAGTCAGTCCAGTTCTTCTTTATGTGGAAAGGAAGGGAGATCCTGGGAGGTGATGTGGATTTTGGTCCTCCGGGTTACCCCGGGCTTGTAATTTCTTGGATACTGTAGGCAAGTCATTTTCACACACATCAAAGCCCAGTTTAATCAAGAGCTAATCGGTTCATCTTTATTGTTTTGAATTGTCTCTCAGGACAGCCATCATTATCCTGAAATTTCAGACCAATTCCTAAGTGCTCTAGAAGATTTCCCTGTCACAGGACCCCAGGGAGTCCAAAGGTACCAGGTCAGTGAGTATAATTTAATGGGAACCTAGGAACTAAGAGATAAGCTACAGCTACGTGAGCTAAGCAAGCACTTCAGAGTTGTGATTTACAGTTCTGACTTTCTAGTTTTTGCTGGTACATTGCCCTTTGTTTAGGCCAAGTCAGGGAGCCACTGTATCTAGAATCAGGACTGAGCTACCACTATGCATACTCAAGGCTGAACCAACCTGGAATGGTTTGACCATCTGACTAATAATTGATAATCTCCTCCAACTGATGTTCTTTGGGCATTTGTTTGAAGAGCACCTAAGCCAGGTGTGGGGGAAGGACTGAGTAAGACAGCAGCATGGTTCAGCCTCCAGCCCTGATTGCAAATGTCTGATCTCCAGTCAGCAAAGCAAGAGCCCTGCCAGTACCTGAACCCACCCTTCTTGAAGGACAACTTAGAAAGTATCTATTATTATCTGTTAGCACCCAGCCCCTCCCCGCCACCCCATCTACACACACACAGATCATCCCTGAGAAGCATTCCAGAGTAAACACCTCCATCTCCTTATCCTCCCAGTGATGTTTTTGGGCCACTTATAGGGGCAGCCAACGCACCTTGGTCTGGATCTGGGTGGACTCCACTCCATTAGCTCTTCTCCCCTCTCCCCTCCCCCAGGCCCCGTTCAAGTTGATGCTCAAGGTTTTGGCTTAGATTATGGTCCCCTACCATTGGGATTTATATCACTTTAGGCTTCATCATCATGATCAGTTTAGTTGTGAACAGTTTGGTCATGAGAAAGGTAAGAAAGCAGGACATAGAGGCCCTCTGAATTCCAGAATAAAGCAGTACAGAGGCACGACTTGGAAAAAGAAGATGCCAAAAGGAAAAGCTAGGGTCCCCCTTCACCTACTTCACAATTCTGCCAAAAGGTCAGCATTACCACATAACTGACAGGACAATTCCCCAGTCTAGTTACATCATTAAATTGTCACATTTATCATCTGACCCACTCCAGTGTTTGTTGCCTGAGGGCAACTCATTTCTTAATCCTGAATCAGGAGTGTTGGTAATTGGCCAGGCCGCTTGCGGAGATTCAGGTTTTCCAGGGCAACTCTTGTCTCCCTCTGCAGAGTGTGGATTCTCACCAATCCCTCCAAGACCCAGTTGGACGTCCCATCATGCACCTATCAGGTCTTAAACATGCTACAGGTGAAGCCATATTTTGTGATGACATTCCAATGGTGGATAGAGAACTTTTCATGGTGTTGGTGACCAGTACCAAAGCCCATGCAAAAATCATGTAAGTAAATGGAAAGCTTTCAAAAAATTGTTTAAAAGCACACCTGCAGTTTCCCTCAGAAGAATGTGCCTGTTCTGCTGTGTCCTAAACCCAAAGAACCTAAAATTGAAAGAATAAAGAAAAGGTCACCATCCCCAGGAGCAGAAAGGGAGGGTATCTGGAAATGACCATTAAGAAAGAGAGAACAAAAATAGTAGTTATGGGCTCCTTGCTTCTATTCTAACTTCACAATACCTCAGCTCTCTGCTGGAGCCTCAGGCCTGGCTCCCAGGAGTAACTCAGAGTAGGGCGATACTCAGCTGGTGATAAAACCCTGAAATACTGCATTTCTGAATGGTAAATGCCCAGTGTCCTAAGCTTCCTAAGAAAGTCCTTTGCCACAGCCACATGGGCCCTGACCCTCACTCCCCTCCAGTAGCTGAAGTGTTACCCTAGCCCAGCAGGGAACCTCCTAGATCCTGGGGCAGGTCAGCTCTTATTGGTCAGGACCTAAGCTGTTGTAATTTTTATTTTCAACAATGTTCTATCTTTCCCTTAGGTCTGGGGCCCTCGAGGTTTGCTGATTTCTACTTCTTAAATATTTATCTTTTTTCAGATCAATTGATTGGTCTGAGGCCCTTGAACTACCTGGGGTGGTTGAGGTGATAACAGCTGAGGACATTCCAGGCACCAATGGGACTGAGGATGACAAGCTGATGCCTGTAGATGAGGTACAGAGCATGCGTTCTCAGGCGACTTTGTGCAGATAATCACCAAGGTCCGACCTCGAGCTGGTTTTCAATTGCCCCCCTCCACCCACCCCCTCATTGGGGGATAGAAGTGCCAATTCTTCCAGCTTCTCTCTACACCTAACATCTTTATTCAGACAGACTTAGAAATTACATAGTAAAAAGGACATTTATTGCAGAAAAACAAGTCCTAGTTTTCCCACCGTGTGCTCTTGAGTCAATTTACCCTTGTCTGAAGAATAAATGTAGGAGCTGACTGTATCAGGATAGAATACCCTAGAAAAACCTAAAAAGGAGAATACAAAAAATACAGCTACTCCCTGTTATCTATACTAAATTCCTCCCTTCCTGGACCAACCCCACATACACACCCCCACCCCCACGGACTCTTACACAGGCCATTTTTTATAAAGTCGCTCTTGCCATCCTTGACCTTTTAATTCAAGTCCACGATCATTCATTGAATACTTGCTTTTGGAGCCAGGCTACCTTGGTTCATGTTCCAGCTCCACCCTCACTAGCTGTGTGCCTTTGGGCATCATTATCTGTAAAATGGGAATCATCATAGCACCAACACCATTGTGTTACTGTGAGATTTAAATGAGCTAATGCATGTAAAATTCTTACAACAGTGCTTGGCACCCGAAGGCTCTCAGTAGGTGTTAGCTAGTACTGTCAAGTCTCAATGAGTCACACAGACTATTTCCCCAACCATGAAACGAATCACTGTTCTTTTGGTTGCACTCCGGAGGAAGAGGTCAGCTGTTACTTAAGAGCTCTATTATCTGCTCAGGAGGCCATAACAAAATACCACAGCCTGGGTCACTTTAACAAAACTGAAACTTATTTTCTCACAGTTCTGGTGGCTGATCAACCAAGATCAAGGTGTTGGCAGGTTTGGTTCCTCCCGAGGCCTTTCTTGCTTTGCAGGTAGTCATTCTCTCAGTGAGTCCCCACACGACCTCCTGTCTGTAGATGAGCCTCCCTGGTAGCTTCCTCTTCTTGTAAGAACATCAGTCCTTTTGGGTTAGAGCTCCACCCTGATGACCTCACTTAAGTTTAATTACCCCTTTAAAGGCCCTGTCTCCAAATACCATCACATTGGAGGTTAGAGCTTCAACATAGGAGTTTGGGAAGAAGGAGGGGATTCAGTGTAGTTCGTAACAGGAATCACACTATACAAAAAACACTTTTCCTTCTCTTTAAATTCTATGATGATAACTCATACCATGAAGATGACACGTGTGAACCAGGCTTGACAGAGGACGCAACAGATTCCAGTCACAGCCAATCTCACATCCACTCTGGGGCTGACATTCATTTAGTAAAATGGCCAATGGAATCATCTGTATTATTTAAATTATTTTTTAAATTAATTTTCTTAACCAAGCACATGTGGTTGAATGTGACCTCCAGTATGGTTATTATTGCTAAACAAGAATAAATAAGACACCAGCCACTGTTGAGTAAGACTATTTCTACAGATATTTTTCTACCTGCTTCATGCATATACTTTCTGCAGGTGCTTTGCGTGGGCTACATCATCTGTGCTGTGGTTGCAGAGACAGACGTACAGGCAAAGAGTGCAACTGAAAAGATAAAGATCACCTATGAAGATCTGGAGCCAGTAATCTTGACCATCAACGTAAGCAGGGGAGGCTGGTTTCTTTCCTGTAAGGTTGTAGGATCAAAAGCACCTTTGTAAATTTCTTTTTTAATTTTTTTAAAGATTTTATTTATTCATTTGAGAGAGAGAGAGAGAGGGAGAGAGCATGTGCAGGGGGAGGGGCAGAGGAAGAGGGAGAAGCAGGCTCCCCACTGAGCAGGGAGCCTGATATGGGGCTCGATCCAGGACCCCGAGATCAGGGCCTGAGCCAAAGGCAGACGCTTAGCCGAATGAGCCACCCAGGCGCCCCTACCTTTGTAAATTTCTTAATGCAAGACTAATTCTAACTTTTTATTGTCACTGATTCGTTCTGGAAAAATCAGCTTTCTCTAGAAGGTTATTACTTGTATGAATTAAAATTAGCTTTGGCTCTAAGAAATGAGGGGGAAAAAACACACCAAGAATTAAAGTTTCTTTCTCTTGCACATTCAGAAAATCTAGGAAGTAGTCAGTCCAGGGCTTATTTGGGGTTTTATGTTTCAGGGATCTGGGCTCCTTCTATCTAGTTGCTGCATCATGCATGGTTTCTATACTCCATGTCACACTTTGGTCCACAATGGTGCTGAAGCTTTGGGCATTAAGTCCACATTCCAGACAGCAGAGAGAATGAGATGATGAAGAAGGGCATATCCCTTCCCTTTAAGGACACTTCCCATATCTCATTGGTTAACACCTAGTCAGATGCCGCACCTACATGCAAGGGGAGCTGGGCAATGTAGACTTTATGCCAGGTGACTACATATCCACTAAAAATTGGGTAAGATGATGAGAATGGATATTGAGAACGATCATGTTTTCAAGGTGGGGCCAAAAAAACAGAGTGACTTTCATGATAGAATTCCACAGAAATTTCCCCTCTTATTTTTGGGTCTAGCTGATGGAATACAAATGCTATTTCCAAAGCAGAAAGAATGAAGTTAGAATAGAAAATTCAGATATAGACTGGGATTTGCAGGTTCTAACTCAATGAAGGACAAGTTCAGAGTAATTGAGCTGATAAAAGCTTTCTTATTTGTGCACTTATGACAGAAAATAGAATTTTTTCAAAGGCCCCAGTGAACCACTTGACATTTTTTAAATGTGCCTAAAAGGTACAACTTGCTCAATATTCAAAGTGTTAAAAAGGTCATGTTTCTTGATCTTTCTAAACCAAATCAATTCCGTTCCAAATTCCCATTTTGCCAAGTTTGCAAGAAGTCCAGACCCTTTTTCTTGGCTCACTCTCCATCCCTGGGTTGTACTAGGATTCTAACATCAGTTTTTGAAATCTCAGTTCTAATCCCATTTCCTCTAGGGGGAAATGGCACCCAGAAGAAAAACCATGAAATATCCTGGGACTCAGAGAATGGTTAGAGATCTAGAGTCCTCTCAGAATGGGACTGTCCAGAGTCAGCTAAAAATTTCTGTTGTGAATGAAAGTAGGTAACAAAATAGTCCTACATACCAACACTTACTCACCCATCCACCCATTCATTCACTTCAATGCTGTATATATGAGAGGCAGAGGAGGGTCGTGGCTAAAAGCAAAGGTTCTAGAACCAAACTGCTGGGTTTGAGCCCTGGATGCGCGCCTGACTAACCATGTCACCTTCAGCGAGTTAAGGTGTCATGGTTTCTTCACCTGTAAAATGGAGCTAATAATAATACCTACCTCATCAAGCTGTTACGAGACTAAATGAGTTAATACATGGAAAGCACTTAGCACAGTGCCTGGCACATACTCAATCCTCACTAAATAAAGCACATATTACAACAAGATTATATGATCTCATGACGCATTTCCAGTATGGCAATAAACATACTTCCACATGAACTCGGGTGGCTCAGTGAGATCTTGGTGTAGAAGAAAATGAAAAAGCCCACTATCTGGTACACGTTTTCTGCTGCTTTAAGAAATCAAGTATTCTTCACCAGGCAAGAGGCTTCTGAAAGCTAAGCTGGGGCTTGAATGCTGCCTTCATCTCTAATTTGCAGCATGACTTTAAGAAAGGCATTTAACCTCTCTAAGCCCAGTCTCTGCACCTGGAAAAAAGAGAGATCATAATGGAATTAATGTGAGAGTGCATATACATGTGCTGTGTGTTGTGCAGTGCTTGAACAAAGCGAGCACTCGGTAAATATTGGCAGCTCTCATCATTATCATAATGAGCAAGATAGATGATGAACTCTAAGGCTGTTGGAGAGTAAGAATGCAGGAAACGGGTGCCATTCTGAAGTATGGAAAATCATGTTGGGCCAAAAGGCTCAGCAAGGATCAGCTGTTAATAGGTGAATCCACAGAGCCTCAGAGTGGGATGGCTTCCAGTCTTCACGTGTAGTCAGTTCACGCTTTTGTCAGAAAGAAAACATAGAAGAAAGGGCTAGAAAGGCCCTTACGAGATATGCCAAATACCCAAAGAAACGAACAAACTTCCTACAGTGTCTATTGGGCTTTCTTGCCCAGAGATGTGTTAGGACTTGAGTCTTCTCCCTCAACTTGGCCTCAGTTCTTTAGATCCCTGAGTTAGCGGTTCTTGTACGTGAGCTACCTAAGTCTTACACAAGTATTTTTCTTCAAGGAGAGGTTAAAGAGGGAGGGCCTAGAACCTCACCCGTACTGCGGTTAGACCTATCACCTGTTCCTTGGACATCCACACTGAAGATGAGAAATGAGCATTTATCATCCTGGGCCATCATAGCATCCCCAGATCTCAATTCTTCGCATTTCCCTAATCCTTCTTGTCAGTTTTCCCTGCAGTCTAGAAGACGTCCTTCTGACATCCATCTCATCTCTACCACAAGCCCACTACTCTAGTACTTCCTTGCTTGATGATTCCCTTCGTGGCAATTTTAGGGAGTTTACTGGCCTTTTATTAAGGAAAAAAAATGCCATTAGAAGAAAAAAAAATTTTTTTAAAGATTTTATTTATTTATTTGAGAGAGAGAGAATGAGAGAGAGCACATGAGAGGGGGGAGGGTCAGAGGGAGAAGCAGACCCCCTGCCGAGCAGGGAGCCTGATGCGGGACTCGATCCAGGGACTCCAGGATCATGACCTGAGCCGAAGGCAGTTGCTTAACCAACTGAGCCACCCAGGCGCCCGAAAAAAAATTTTTGATTGGCTTGTGTGTTTTTTTCCTATCATTTAGGATGCCATAAAGCACAACTCATTCCTATGCCCTGAAAAAAAACTTGAACAAGGAAACGTTGAGGAGGCATTTGAAAAAGCTGATCAAATTATTGAAGGTAAGTGATTCAGGATATTTAATAGAATCTTTGCACGATTTCTATTTCAAAGCAGATACTGAGAACATGTGATTTTCTCTCAGAAAGGGTATCCTCTAAAGACTCAGAACTTTGACAAATTTCTCTTATAGCTCTTCCTCTCAGATTATGTGTGTGTGTGTGAGAGAGAGAGAGAGAGAGAGTGTGTGTGTGTGTGTGTGTGTGTGTTGCCTTTAGAGGTGGGGGGTGGGGAGCAACAGAATATATAGAAGAAAAATCCCTAGCACTTTGATTAGTCAAGGACAGAGGAATAGAACCAGACACTTTGAACTTGTTATCCAAAACTGTAGTCTCAGAAACAGATTGCCCTCTGTTGCCACAGGACAAATGCCTGATCCATCAGTTCCTTGGTCTGAACAAATCCAGACTGGTCAGTCCACATCTTACTTGCTTTTGAATTCCTCAACATAGTAGTTTCCAACTAGCACACGCTTTCAAGAATTTCCCTATCTTGCACTTAACAAGAATTTCCCTATCTTGCACTTAACAGGAGAGGTCCATGTTGGAGGACAGGAACATTTTTACATGGAAACACAAAGTGTGCTTGTTATTCCGAAGGCAGAGGACGAAGAACTGGACATTTATGTGTCAACACAGGATCCAGCCCACGTGCAGGTAAGGCCCAGGATCGCCTTTACCTTCCCAAATTCCTAATTCCATCATGGCCTTTGATGCCCACAGCCTCACAGTTGGCAGCCATTTTACCTGTAGAAACTTGATGTCCAGGTACTAGACCCCAGTGGAACAGCTAAGATGCCAGAACACTTTTATTTTGTCTGGTCTTGTCAAGTAAATAAAAGAACAGTCGAGGTGAAGGAGATTAAGGGTACACTTATCATGATGAGCACTGAGTAATGTAGAGAATTGTTGACTCACCATATTGTACACCTGAAACTAATATAATATGTATGCTAACTATACTGGAATTAAAATTAAATAAAATAAATTAAATCAAATTTAAAAAAAAGAACAGCCACAGTCACTTGAGATTTAAAGAGAGCATTCATTTGCAGCATGCTTAAATGGGCTCTATGATTGGATAACAACACTAAATAATATCCCGTACGTGGTTTTTTTCCAAAATAATCATTACAGATAACCTTTGGAGTGAACACATCACTTTGTAGCACATTTTCATTTCCCAGTTGCAAAGTGCCCTAGGGTTTAGCTGCAAACATCTTCTTTAGCAAGTTGTCCTGAGTTTGCTGATTTCACCTTGTTGGGACTTCAGGTCTAGGCATTTGGCTATGATTCCAGCTTCTGACAGGAATCTAGGACTCAGACAGTTTCCCTTCTGGAAAATACCATTTTTCTGCTGGAAAGGCTATTCTGTAAGATTAACGATGTTTATGAACTCAATAGAGCTCTGCAAGACAGATTTAGACTATCTTAGTTTTTTTTGTTGTTGTTTTTCTGATAGTAGATATGGATGAATATTGCTATGATGTTGTTTCAGAAAACAAAAGGCTTCTTTGCCATTTCTTGGAAAACTTTTCCATTATCTAACTTTTACAGAAAACAGTGTCCTTTACTTTAAACATCCCCATCAATAGGATCACCTGTCACGTCAAACGGGTGGGTGGAGGTTTTGGTGGGAAAATAGGAAGACCAGCCGTATTTGGAGCTATTGCAGCTGTGGGCGCTATCAAGTAAGTGCACTAGGGGATATAGGAAGGTATAAAACGTACAGAGCTAAGGGTAAATCAGTGAGTCACTGAGGGTCACTTGGACTGCTGTCACAACCACCTGAGTGTCCTTGGGCAATTCAGGCTCCTGTCTCTTTTTCTTTATAATCATAGATAGAGTACCCACCCTCCTAGAGTTATTTGAAAAGTCGAATGTACACAGGACTTCAAATAGGCTAATTTGCTATAAAAAGGAAAAGTGATATTATTAGTTAAGTAGTTCCAAGGCTGAGGCTGCCCCGTCCTTGAGTTTCAAGGAAGGTGACCCATTTAGGGGTGGGACAAGTATCCTACCCAAGTGGAACACCAAGGGGGTGGGTCCTCCCCCACTTTTCCTTCCTACTCTAGCTGCAGACAGGGTGGAGTGAGGAAAGAAAGGCTCCCACCCTCTGCCTCTCTGCACCTGGGAAGGGCTGGCTATTCAATGTTAGTTTAATGATAGATGACATCCTCAAAGAAAGTTCCCGGGCTAACCTCAACCAGAAAGCTCGCTCTTTTGCTGTTTATGCTATTCCGGTTGCTAGCTTTTCAGATCCTTGTTCATTTTCTACGACTGTTTCTTGGTAGTAACAAAGTACTGTCAGAGCCCCAGTCAGCCCACAAAGTTCAAAGGTCCTGCTTCCTTTGACAAACTCTGTGTAGTTCAGAGCTAGCTCCCAAAGCACTCAGATGTGTGTCTTGTTCTGCAATGAGAGGTGGAAAATCACAAGATCTGAATCCCATCTCTAGTTCTTTCCATAATGAACCTCTCTATTCACACCCACCAAGAACCCAGCAAGGGATAATCAGTTCATCATGCTCCCACTAGGCGTTGTGCCTTTAAGACTATTCAAGCATTACCGCACATTTGAATCATCCAGGGAGCACTTAAATCCCAATGCCTAAGCTGCCCCATAAAGATCCAGGCATCACTATATTTGAAATTACCCCAGTGGTGCCACTGTGCTGCCAAGCGTGGGAACCAGCGCCTTAAGCTACAACCCTGCCTTAGCACACGTCTGCATGCATTTAGTAGTTCCCAGAGGAGGGTTCCCAAGCTGTTGATAATAAGACTCTCCCAGGCTCATAGAAATCCCTGCCTCCCCATCCCAGACCCACCAAATCAGAATCACCAGGGGGTGGACCCAGAAACCTTACATTTAACTGATGCTCCAGGTAGTCTTCACCATTAAAAAAACAAAAACACAAACACAAAAAAGCAAAAAAAAAAAAAAAGGAAACCTCATGCCAGAATTATAGTTTTCAACACGTACCTGAAAATACCTGCATAAGAATCACTGAGAAAGTGATTCTTTCTTTCTAGGGCCCCTCCCCAATGTATTGAATGGGAGTCCTAGTGCTAAGGCTCAGGAATCTGAATTTTCACCAAAATACCAGATGAATCTTTTGCACTCCGAAGAGTCCAGAACCACTGCCCTAGAGATACAGAAAGGCTAACGCTCCGAATACTGAAGGCCCAACTTGGCCAACAGGGTAGCATTCATGGGTAGAAATGAAGATGCTAACCCAGCAGGCTAAGGACAAGTACTTGGCCTTGTTTTTGCAGTTGTGTTGTTAAGTTTGCATTTATCTATTTGCACTCTTTCTCTTTTGTAACTAGTGGTGGGGATATGCAAAATGGCTGGATCTGGGTGAACATCAAATCTGAAGCCATAAGAACGCAAGTTAGGGACACCTGGGTGGCTCAGTCGATTAAGCGTCTGCCTTCAGCTCAGGTCATGATCCCAGGGTCCTGGGATCGAGTCCCACATTGGGGTCCCTGCTCAGCGGAGAGCCTGCTTCTCCCTCTGCCTGCTGCCCCTGCTGCTTGTGCTGTTTCTCTCTCTCTGACAAATAAATAAATAAAATCTTAAAAAAAAAAAAAAAAAGAACACAAGTTAACTGGCATGTGACATTAATCGCTTTAGCTAGATCTCCAACCATTGAGTTATAGGCTACAGCGACAGTAGTAATTTGGTCACATGTTAATTCGGATCAGTGCCCAGCTCATTGTATGTGCTCAGAGAGTATGGTTGCATATCAGTGCCAGCTCATTGTATGCACTCAGGGAATGGATGGTTAAATGAATGGCTGGATAAATGGGTGGGCAAATGGATGTAGGATGGATGGGTAGAAAGGTAGATAGATGGATGGGTGGGTAGATAGTTAAATGAGGGATGAATAAATGGGTGGGCGGATGATAGATGAGTAGATGGATGAATATGGGAATGGATGGATGGGTGGGTGGAAAGAGTGGAGAATCTAAGATTTGTTTTCTTTAGAACTGGTCATCCCATTCGTCTTGTTCTTGATCATGAAGATGATATGCTAATAACAGGGGGAAGGCACCCATTACTTGGAAAATATAAAGTGAGTATTAAAGATGAAATTATTAAAATACCTCATTTTATCTGAGTGGTTTTATAATTTTTTATTATTTTGGTTTTGCTACATTCTAAAAACAATAATCTTACCTAAAATATTAAATGAAAATGCTGTGTACTTGAATACTCATAAATTTTATGAGGAAATTTTAGTAAATCTAGTATAGATTATGAAGAAATTGAATGATAACACAATTTCAAATGATAAAAAATTATTGAAGGAATAAGATTTTCATTGGTGGTTCCTCAAAGACAAAAAATGAAAGAAGCTACAAGAACTTGTTATACCCAAACTTCCTGACTATAAAAATATTTTGTGTAGCGGCACCTACACAAAAGTGTGGCTCAGTCAGTTAAACATCTGCCTTCGGCTCAGGTCATGATCCTGGGCTCCCGGGATCAGCCCCACATTGGGCTCCCTGCTCGGCTGGGAGTCTGCTTCTCCCTCTGCCTGCCCCTCCCTCTAACCGCCCTCCCTGCCCCCCTCACTCATGTTCACGTGTGCACTCTCTCTCTCTCTTTCTCTCTCTCTCTCACTCTCTCAAATAAATAAATAAAATCTTAAAGAAGAAAAAAAAAGAAAAATATTAAAAAGAAAATATTTAAAAAAAAATATTTTGCAGTTGAAATGTTTGGAAACAATTTTACCACTATAACTACAAAATCATTTTTACAAGTATTTCCACTAAGTTGTTATGAAAGTGTCACAACAGTTCTTTGCAAATAGGAAAAGCAGAATCCACTAACTAATGAAATAATTTTATGTTTTTTCAAACCACACTCATTGCATTTTATACAACTATGGCATAAGCACCATTAAAAATACTGTTAACATCTAGGGGCGCCTGGGTGGCTCAGTCAGTTAAGCGGCTGCCTTCAGCTCAGGTCATGATCCCGGGGTCCTGGGATCGAGCCCCGCGACGGGCTCCCTGCTCAGTGGGGAGCCTGCTTCTCCCTCTGCCTGCTTCTCCCTCTGCCTGCCGCTCTGCCTACTTGTGCTCTCCCTCTATCTCTGTCAAATAAATAAATAAAATCTTTAAAAAAAATAAATAAATACTGTTAACATCTAGTTGACAACAACGGTACTTTTCACATTTGTGACTGAGTTTTTAGGATAGTTCTTTTTTTTTTTTTTTTTTTAATTTTATTTATTTATTTGACAGAGAGACCGCGAGAGCAGGAACACAAGCAGGGGGAGTGGGAGAGGGAGAAGCAGGCTTCCCGCCGAGCAGGGAGCCCGATGTGGGGCTCGATCCCAGGACCCTGGGATCATGACCTGAGCCAAAGGCAGACGCTTAACGACTGAGCCACCCAGGCGCCCAGGATAGTTCTAATGTAATGTTTCTATATCAAAGATGTTTTATCTGGGAATTGCTTATAGCATACACACAGCTAGATATTCTACCTGATGTCATTGCCTTAGATTACTAAAGTACTATATTTCCTGGATCACTAAAGCCATACCACGGCACCATTTTATTTCTTCCATTGGCATTAGTAATTTTTATAATTTGGGAGAAAAGGACCACACTTGGCCATTAAATTTTTTATTTGCCTTCAAATGCACAGAGATGAATACAACTACTATTATCTTCCAGCACCAAGAATAATGTAGAGGCACATTCTAGGATTATGGCAGTGTGTTTTGTTATGGTGGTTGTTGAGTTCTTTGGTTTTGGCCTGAGTTATAAGTCAGACTTTATTTATATTGCATTATGAGACTGTTTTAGTACTAGTCTTTATTAAGAAGGTTCTAGACTGTAAATATTTTGGTGATTATAGTAATGTAAAATATAATTAAAATGAGGGAAATAGACTTTAGGAAATCCAAATTTTATTTTATTTTTAAAGAAATATAATTTTACTTCCAATATAGTAAGATGTGGGTGTGAGAGAGATGTGTGTCAGTATGTGTATATATAGAGAGAGAGTGAGATCCTCATTCAAACCTAGCTAACCAAGTTTTGCTGGGTTATTCAGAGCTATTTGGAAATTAGCATAATAGGTGTTTATGTGTAAATAGGTTCTTCTGAAATTCTTGAAAAGTTGATAAACAGTTTAAGAATTCTACTACCTTACTTATTATACTGTTTTGCTTAGCAGTCTTTTCTTCATGAAAAGTCACAGGTAAACTTCAGCCTACCATTTGTCAAAATTACCATAAATTCTGAATTTGTGGATTTTTCTACACTTGCTAAGTGCTCTGCTTTGTTATCCAACATCTCCATAGATGATAATAGCCATACGGTTGTACCTCAAAAAGGCACAGGTACCAGGGCCAATCCTTTTCTGGTGGAACTACACCAGGAAGTGGGAAATTTTCAATCTGGCCTGTGCAGACCAACAGGTCTAGGTGGGTGGGAGGGGAGTGGCAACTTCAGAAAAATGCAAGGTGCTTATTTGAGTCCCAGTAAGAACAGTAGCTCACATTTGTTACATCCTTAATCACAAAGCACTTCATCAGCTCCCTAAAATGAGAGCAGCCGTGCTCATGTCCCTTCCCTAGCTTCAGCTTCCAAGGCTTTCCCGTAATGAGATGCACTCTGGAATTCCAGAGACTTTTCCACAAGGGCGAGAAACTACAGACTAAATTAGAAGGAAAACTAACAAAAAGTGAAGGAGATTTGGGGCACCTGGGTGGCTCAGTTGGTGAAGCATCTGACTTCAGCTCAGGTCATGATCTCAGGGTCCTGGGATCGAGCCCCCGCGATGAGCCCACCGTGGGGCTCCTTGCTCAGCAGAGACTCTGCTTATCCCTCTCCCTCTGCCCCTCCCCCCACTCGTGCTCAAGCTCTCTCTCTCTCTCTCTTTCAAATAAATAAATAAAATCTTAAAAAAAAAAAACAGTGAAGGAGATTCTTCCAAGAATAAAGAAGAAGAGGGTAGCAATTATACACCAGGAGGCAAGCAAGGACTTTGGAATTCCATACTGACTGTGAAGCCAGAAAATGATGCCTCAAAAGGATAGGGCTCAGCAAAATTCAGGTCAGGAGGCCTTTGTAAGCCAAGCAATGAAAAAAAGGGGATGGCCAGGAGTGGTACACCACCAAGCAAATGGGAGCAGAGTCTGCCTTCAGTCGTGCCCAATCCTAGAGCTGGGTTGTGACTTAAACTTGGCTTGTAAATTTTAAACAGATCATAATATGTCCTTCATTTGGTGACAGGTGGGATTCATGAACAACGGGCGAATCAAAGCTCTGGATATTGAGCGCTTCATTAATGGAGGATGAATGCTGGATGACTCTGAGCTGGTATGTGCATCAGAAACCAGCACCATCTTTAATCCTGAATAGAAAGCAGAATTTCTAGATGAGTCTTTACAGAGCATTTTTCTTCAAGTACTTACCCAAGTTCCACAAGCAGTTAGACTCTGAACTTGACTTTTACAGAAAAAAACCCAAAGTATTGTCCAATATATATTAATATCTGCTTTCACTTTAGGTAACAGAATTTCTCATATTAAAGCTGGAAAATACATATAAAATCCGCCACCTCAGGTTCCGGGGCTGTGCATGCATAACAAATCTACCATCTAATACAGCCTTTCGTGGATTTGGCTTCCCACAAGGAACCCTGATAAGAGAATCTTGCATCACAGCTGTGGCAGCCAAATGTGGCCTTCTGTCAGAAAAGGTAAGGTTGTAATCAAGGTCGTAACCAAGGTTGGTGAAGAATCAGATGAGGTAGGAAACTAGCTACCCAAGGAAAGACCCTAGAAGAACCACTCAAATTAGCCCCAGCTCAGAATTTGAGGTAAATTAAGTGCTACCTGAAAGAAATGACTTTCCACTATCTTCCTACATCCTTATGCAAACAACTTTCTGTTTCTTTCTTTCTTTTTTCTAATTTGTACAAAAATAATTGCTCCTTTTAAAATTCTAACCACACTGAGGGAATTAAAATAAAAAGTGAACGTCCCCTTTTTCATCCCATCATCCCTATTGATCAAGGGTAACCATTGTTAAGAATTCTATGTTTATTGTTCCAGGCCTCTAGATTCAAACACACATATGTAAACATTGATGTATTATGTGTGTGTGTGTGTGTGTGTACATAGAGAATTAGTTACCAAAATGGGACCATGATAAGCGTATCATACTTTTTCTGCTTGAGTAGGCCACGGTTATCTTCCTGTGTCAATAGAATGATCCACTTCATTCTTTTTCATAACTGAATAGCATTATGTAATAGGGACTTGCCATAATTTATTTAGCCACTCCACTATGATACACATTTATGTTGTTACCCATTTTGGGCTATTAAAATGATGTTGCAAGAAACATCTTGGTACAGATAGACCAAAATATAGATGTATTTTTGCCCTATTGTATATATCTTAAGGATAAATTTATAGAAGTGGAATTGCCAGTATACTTGGAAATTTTTGAGAGATATACTGCCAAAAGATGCCCTCCAAAAATATTATTTTGTACAGTATCCTGGAAGGTGCACAGTATAGACAGGATGCTAGGCCAGAGAGAGGCAGGCCACTGGCAACTGAGATAATTATTAATAACAGCTTTCTAGCCTTCACACATTTCAATTAGGCCCTAGCCTACTTTTTACACTTCTCTTCCCTGTTTCCCCAGTATAGTCTCTCTGCTCCAGAAGCCACACTTAATATATTGCCCTTTGAACCCCTTGGCCCCCAAGTTCAACAGAGAGGACCAGCAGGTTTGTGATTGTCAGGGTACTTCCTACACACAGGAGAACACCTACATATGGTACCAGGAAGAACATAGTTATCCTAGAGAAGTCACATAAAGTGTTCTATGAGTACAAGGGAGAAAGACATCACTTTGGCTTGCAGGGAGGAGAGTCAGCAAGAACTTTCTGGAGAAGATGACACTTAAGATAGGCCTTGAAGAATAATAGGCACAGATAATAGGAAGGTAATCCAGGCAAATGGAGCGGCTCCAGCAAGGAGAGGCAACCTCTTTGTGGTTCAGTTTCCTTATCTATGAAACAAGGATGATATGACTCACCACACAGGGTTCCTGCAAGAATCAAATGAGCTAGCACTTGTTAAAACATTTGTTTCCATAAACTGGATGGTATTATTCCAATGTTACTGCTGATAATGATAATTATTTAATGTTACTAGAGCGAAATGGGGAGAATGAAGACTTCCTGAGCACATCTCAGTGGGCTCTCCTTCTTTATCAAATCTTGCATGCTTTCAGGACATACAACACCCCATATTCAAATACATTTTTAAAAAGATTTGACCACACATTCCAGAGGCAATCAGAAGGCTTAGAGTAGATCTGCTATTTGTTACTAGCTGCAATGCTATTCCTCTGTATCAGAACAAATCTTCAGTTATGACAATAAACCCTTGCTTTTATATACAATCTACCAGCTCTTCCTCATCCTCTGAACCTTGTGGGAAAGAAGGAGTATCTGCTTCCCTCAGCCTCTCCATCCTGCTGCCCTCCAGGGACCAGTTACTACCGCTACCCTCCACTTGAGGAGGGAGAAACCCTGATTGGTACATTGAAGAAGAGATGAGAAATAACTACCATTATTTTTTTTTTTAAGATTTTATCTATTTATTTGAGAGAGAGAGAGCACAATCGGGGAGGGCAGGGGAGGGACAGAGGCAGAGGGAGAAGCAGGCTCACCGTTGAGCAGGGAGCTGCCATGGGACTCGATCTCAGGACTCTGGGATCATGACCTGAGCTGAAGGCAGATGCTTAACCGACTGGGCCACCCAGGCGCCCCTAACTCCCATTATTTTTACAAAAGCACATGCTGTTCAAAGAAAGAAGCAGCACCCTGTCTTCTCCCCACCCAAGTTTGTGTTTTAATGGGGAAGCTTTTCAAGTCTCTCTTTTGCAGTCAGTTTCTGTCTTACCATAAACTATCAACTCAGCTTCTCACCCATTTCAGATTAGGGAGAAAAACATGTACAAAATAGTTGATAAAACCATCTACAAACAAGCGTTCAGCCCTGAGACCCTGATCAGATGTTGGAATGAGTGTCTGGACAAGTCTTCCTTTCACAACAGGAGAATGCAAGTGGAAGAGTTTAACAAGAAGAATTACTGAAAGAAGAAAGGCATGGCAATCATCCCCATGAAGTTTTCAGTTGGTTTTGCTGCAACAAGCTATCATCAGGTAAGGCTTTTCTACGTGGTGAATAACCCTCACATCAGATGCACTTCTTGCCCTGTCAGCTCACGTTGACTTTGGGAGAGGGTCACATTTCCCAGGCACCAAGCCCCTCCCTCCCCCAGCACCTGGGAGAAATGTAAGAACTCTCCTGAGCAGCATCCCCATCTACAAGCTCGTTCAACACAGTGCAGTAGAAAAAATGTCTCGGTGTCAGAAAATGGCATCAGCAAGCCTGCTACCAGCATGGCTGCCAGGACGCAGCAGTGACCACAACCCCCACCCCACCCCACCCCACCCCAAATCATCCCTGTGCCAAAGGGAATGAGAGCCCACAAGGCCTGGGGTGCTGAGCTCTCTGAGCCCAGGCGTTACGGCTTGGGCAGGGAGTGGGGCCTCTCTTGGTCTGTGCCCCAGACCCCTCAGCTCTCCTCAGTGCCCCAAAGTCTAGGCAGAGAGGTCACTGCATGTTGTCCTGACAAGCTGGCTGTTTCCAGCCACCTCTCCCGGGAATCTGTGTCAATTCTAGTGGGGAAACAGGGGTGCATGGTCCAAAAATCCTTCCAGGTAGATTGCAAAAGGAAGAGGCAAGTCACTCAGAGGCCACATCCAGAAGGGAGGAGGAAAGGTGCAAATAGATGAGTCCATTAAATAACACAGGACTGGTACAGACAAGTGTTCCCAGCAATCCCAATGGGTCCTATATGGGAAAGCTGTTTACAAAACAGGGAAGTGGTATTGCCTCCCCATTATTGTCCACCAGAAGCAGAGACTCCGCAACTGGAAAAATCTTATGTGCATTAGATCTAAATCTAAATCTAAAAATACATTAGATCTCCCTGTGCGTATACCATTGAAAGCATTTTCCCACTTACACCCAACTACCAGCAGCCAATAGACACATGCGCGTGCTCACACCACAGAAGCTGCCCTGTCCAAGGAAATCCTTCTTAGGGAGTAAAGCAGTTGCCCCCAAACCCTAAGCAACTGGAGTCAGGTGGACCTAAGAAATCCTTGGCCCTGCCACTTACTAGCTGTGTAATATTGAGCAAGTTATTTAACCTCTCTGAGTCTCAGCTTCCTCAATTATAAAATGAGAATAATAATCCTTTCTCTTAGGATTGATGAGGACTCAACAAGCTAATAAATGTAAAGCACTTGGCAGGGTTACCGGAGCACTGTGTAGTTATCCAAGGCAGCCCACACCCCTTCCCCAGGAGATCTCAGACACACCTCGCAGGGCTGTGGCTCCTCCAGCAGGTAGGATGAGACTCCCCGGTCTCCTGAGTCACACTCCTGTTCAGGTCCAGCATGCCTGTTCTGCACAGAGGTGCAGGCAGGTTGACCGTTACACCTACGGGCCTGGACTAATTCAACAGCTGGAGCATAAGTTATTCTAGATATCTGCCTGTGTGGGTTTTTTTCTCTGACACCAAATGTTGTGTTTTTTTCTGCACCAATCCTCCAACACCAACTGAGTTGTGCAACAGAGTTCAATTCAATTCTGACGCTAACTACCCAGAGTTAGCACAGACCACACAGATCAAGGGCTAAGTCCCACAAGACTGCCTCCATTTCCGATACCAGCAAAAGTAGGGTGCCCAAGCTATTCACACTTCTGTCCAAGCAACTACAAATTCAGGGGTTTCCACTACCCACCTCACTTAGGTTTGATATTTGCTAGAGCAACTCGCAGAACTCAGGAAAGCACTCTACTTACTATTATGACCAGTTTGTTATAAAGGATACCACCCAAGAATAGCCACATGGTAGACATGCATGGGGCAAGCTCTGTGAGAGGCAAATGGGGCTTTCATGCCCTTCCCCTCCAGCTTGTGGCTGTGGTCACCAACCCAGAAGCTCCCAGAACCCAGTTGTTCGTGGGTTTTATGAAAGTTTCATTACATAGTCACAGTTGATTAAATCATTGGCCATTGGTGACTGAACTCAATCTCTAGTCCCTCTCCCCTCCCTGAAGTTCAGAGGGTGGGGCTGAAAGCTGGAACCCTCTAACCTTGTGTTTGGTTTTTCTGGCAACAATTCCCACCCCCTAGAAGCTGTCTAGGCTTCTCCCAAGAATGATCTGAATAGCAGACAAAAGACGGTAAATTCCCAGGATTTTTGGACCTCTGTGCCAAAAATCAGGGACAAAGAACATATATTTATTTTTTTATTATACAACACTTCCCCTCACCTGGATGGCTGCCCCTCACATAAACCACAGTCTACTCTCTGCCATCATCCATATGAGCCAACTTCCTTACCTCGCCACACACACACACACACACACACACACACACACACACACATCCTTAAATCAAGCAACGACTTTAAAGCTCTATTTGAAAGGCCTCCAGCTTCTTCACAGAGTTCCAAATTGATGCATCCAAGAATCACCAGGCTAAGAGTTGAAATGTGTTATTTCGGGGCAGCTGATGACTCACAAAGCTGGAACACCTACTCTCCAAACTAGGCATGGGGAGCACTGTCAGAGGGAGTCAAAAGGCCCACGATGATAAATACTATTATTAACATCTATAAGCCTGGGTGCCCCAAAGCTCCTCTAAGCCATTCTGAGACAGAATAGACTGAAATCCTAATTCCTCCCCCTTTTTCCCTCCTCCTCCTGAAATGAAAAATAACACATTTCCATTTGTCCAATTCAACATTTATTTAGTGTTTCTGTGATTCAGACTTGCTCTAAGTTCTCTACAGGACACAAAACTGAACGAGACCAAGTGCCCTTCCTCCCTGAGACTCTCACAGAAGAGCTGGTCACTCCCTGTATTCATTTCCTGTGGCTGCCATAAGAAAGTACCACAAACTGGGTGGCTTACAACAAATTTATGCTCTCCCGGTTCTGGAGGCTTGGAGTTCAAAATCAAGGTGTCAGCAGGGTAATGCTCCTCAGAAGCCCCCAGAGGAGAACACTTCCTTGTCTCTTCCAGTTTCTGGTGTCTCCTAGTATTCCTTGGCTTGTGGCCATGTCACTCCAATCTCTGCCTCCATCTTCACGTGGCCTTCTTTGTTGTGTGTCTTCACACAGTCTCATATAAGAACACCAGTCACTGAATTTAGAGCCCACCCTAATCCACTATGACCTCCTCTTAACAATTTTATCTACAAAAACTCTATTTCCAAAGAAGGTTGCATTCTGAGGTTCCAGGTGGACAGGAATTTGCAGGGGACACTAATCAGCCCAGTTCACCCCTGTAAGAGGAAGTGCAGAGAAGCAGGTAACTGACCCTTCCCAGATGGGAATGAGAAGTGTTTGGGAAGCTTTCCCAGAACGGAGATCATAGGTGTGGGTCTGACGGCTGGGGACCAGGCCAGGAAGGGAGAACAGCATAAGCGTGAGCACAGGTCAGGAAGGAGCAGCAGTAAGGCAAAGCAGGAAAAGACAGCGATGGAACTGGAAAAGTACACTAGACCAAATCCTAAAAGACCTCATATTGTAAAAAGGAGCTAGGCTTTCCCATACAGACAATGGGGGATTTGGGCCCACCTTGCCCAGTGGTGAGCCCTTCTTCCCTTTTATGATTCCATTCAGTTGTCTCTTTGGGGAACCCCTCCCCAAGCTTCTCAAAAGCAGTTCGATCTGTCCTCCCAGGTCCCTAGGGCCCCTTATATCATGCCCATTGCCTCACAAATCATTCTGCATTATGACTTGCTCTCTACCCTGTCCCCCCATTACAGTGGGAGCTACTAAATGTTGAGGAAGAACCACATCTTGTTCATCTGTGTATATCCAGAGCTGAGCGCAGATTGGAACATAACATGTGTCAAGTACTTAACAAATGTTTAATTAGTTAGCTGAACAGTCAGCCAGAGACTTTAAGAAGGGGGGTAACTTTCAAATAGTTGGAACCAATACTCATAACTCCTGAGTATCCAAAGGGGCGCCTATTAAAACCAGGTTCCTGGGACACCTAGGTGGCTCAGTCAGTTAAGCATCCAACTCTTGGTTTCAGCTCATGTTCTGATCTCAGGGTCGTGAGATTGAGCCCCATATTGGGAGATCGAACCCCATGTCGGTCTCCGCGCTCAGTGTGGGGTCTGCTTGAGATTCTTTCCCTCTCCCTTCCCTCCCCCACTCACGCTTGCTCATGTATGCGCTCTCTCTCTCTCAAATAAAAAAATAAAATCTTTAAAAATTTTTTAAATAAAAAATATAAATAAATAAATAAAACCAGATTCCTAAAAGGAATGTTCTTTACAGGTGACTTCTGCACAGAACAGAACTAAACGTCAGAATCCCACCAGGAAAGCTTGCTTCTCTGACCCTCTGAAGGGGGTCTCACTACCTCATTTGTTTATATTCAATCTCACTAAACTTGCACTGAGTGGTGCCTTCTGGGTTGTTTTACTAGGCAGCTGCTCTCGTTCATATCTACACAGATGGCTCTGTACTGGTCACACATGGAGGCAACGAACTGGGACAAGGTATTCACACCAAAATGCTGCAGGTAAGCTACATAAAATTAAGTCGTTGATCTCTCTATACATTGTTGACATGCCTGACATTTGGCACTAATTTTAGGGGAGATGATCAAACCCTAAGATCTTGACTATTTGATTGAAAAACTTCTTCCGTATCAAATGGAATGTCTGAGGTAGCAGAAACCCCACGTATGTACAAATAGTCCTAGAGCATGGCCAGGCTTTATGGGTGGAGGTGGTTGTTAGTGAAAACACCACTAATGAGCCCCTGGAGCACTGTGGTAGGTGCCCCACACAGACTTTACCTAGAGTAGGAGTTTCTCAGCTTTTCTATTTTGAGACCAGTATGCATGATTTCTAAAGTTTGGACAACAACATTAGGTTGCTAATATACATTTTGGACAAGTAAGGACAAGTAAGTCATCAACTGTTATTATGCTATAATTTTTAAAGTATATTTTAACACACACACATACATATGCATGAAGTAGGAAGATATCTCAAGAGGAAAAAAAAAGAAGAATCCTTTAAATTGAATAAATTTCACTATGACAAATTTATTAGATTATTATAGTACACATCCACAGCTTTGGACTATCCAGCCCCTTAGCTCCTTTGGAATACACCCCCTACATTCCATAGAGTCCTAAAGGACTCCTCACAATTCTGGTACCTTTTAGCCCCATTTCCCTCCTTTCCCCAACTCCTGCCACAGATAGAGGCACAGGTGTCAGGCCTAGCTGGTCATGGCTCCTGAGCCCACTGGCTGCAGGGATGGGTCCAGGGGGAAGGCACAGGACCAAGATCCTTTCCTGGGACTGATGCGTAGATGCTGACAGAGAAGAACTAGCATGCCCTTGTGGTTGCTGAGCTCCTCTGCTCTAAGTCAGGGGATGTCAGAGGCAATTTTCCTGTGCCATCGAGGAAGCATGCCTGTTCTTGGAAATAACATAGCCATCGTGGGAAGAAAAGCAAACGTGAGAGGCAGCGAGAGGTCGCTGATAATACCAGAAAGACTTAGATGCATATATATGTGACACAGTCTCCACTTGTCCTTCCCATGTAGGGGACCCAATACATTCCCTTTGGCTCTTCATCACCAAGAACCAATAAAATTGTCCTTTTTTTTTTTTTTTTCATTTTGCCTCTTGCTGGGGAAACTTAATCTTACAACAGCATTACTCTCTAGATTAGCACTTGGGAACAAGTCCATAACCGTAGACGTCTGGAGAAAGTGTTCTTGCCAAAACTAAAAGACAAAAGAAACCAAAATAATGCTTTTTCTCTTCCTTCCTTCCTTCCCTCCCTTTCTTTCTCTCTTTTTTATTCTTTGTGATTAAATATCTTTCTTTCCACGTGTCTGCTAGAGAGACTGGAAGAAAAAGAACAGAAAAGAAAACAGTGAACAGCAAATACTAGAGGAGTATAAACAGGAGGGAACAAATAGAAGACAAGGGGGAGAATCGAAAGATAAGGTGGGATGAGGGCAAGAGAGAAGATAGGCCCTCAGGGTCATTTGAAATTCATCGGATGCTCATGCCAACAGATTTAAGACCAACCTTTGAACCAGTCAGTCTGATCTCTCTCTTCCTGCCAATGCCACCAAATAAAACTCAGAAACAAAGGAAATCCTTCACAGCCTAAACACACTAAGTTTGAATGGAAGAACCATTTTGGAATCCTACCAAGAAAACACTTTAAAAATCAGCGTGAGGCTCTACTAAGAAGTGGTTTTCATTTTTTTAAGACACATTATTTTAGGCTTTCAAGGATTTCATGGATGTAATAAAAATGGTAGTGTTTTTTAATTAAAAAAAAAAATGACTCAACTCTTCCTAGAAAACTTTGCCGGACTTGAAAATATTTATTTTTCACATAGGTGGCCAGCCGTGAATTAAAAATACCCATGTCTTCTATGCACATCTGTGAAAAAAGTATGGCCACGGTGCCCAACACCATGGCTACCGCCACTTCCATTGGTTCAGATGTCAATGGCAGAGCCATGCAGGTGCTGTCCCCTGTCTTTCCCTTCCGAACTTTTTCCATATTGCTGGTTTGCTTAGCTGGATACAGACACAGCAGTTGGCTTCAGAGAAGTCATCTGTGGCAGTAAACATAGTCTCGGGATAACCAAAATGTCAGGAGAGTGGACTAGTTTGAGTAGGCTAAACTGAGGTGACACACAGACACATAGTATACAGTGCCTCAAACACGACAAAAGTCCCTTCCTTGCACACGTAACGGTCCAGAGGGAGCTTTCATCATTGGAGTACCCTGAGATTAATGGCAATTCCTCCACCTTTAACATGTGGCTTTCAAGCCTGCCCTGAGCATCATCTTCAGGGAAAAAGCATGGAGGTCAGACCTGGAAGTGATGCAAGTCACTTCCCCTAATCATCCACCAGCAGAACAAGTCTCGGGCCATGTCTAAGTGCAAGGGAGGTTGGGGAAATGTGGAGGAGTACACCATAGGCCCAGCTACTATGGAACAAGGGGAGAATGGAGTTTGGTGAATAAACAGTCTCTGTCGCGGGGAGAAACAAAGAAGAAATCTGGGTACCGAGTAATGCAGGGCTGGGCAAGTCTCTGACACAAACAAGTTCTTGCAGGCAGAACACCAGCTCAGTGGATCTGGTTCAATTAAAGTGTTTCCATCAGTGCAATTCAACCACAGCGCTCATACCTATCCTTTGTATTTATTTTCTGATATTTTTAAAAACTGCTAAATTTTCACTTTTTCAGAATAGACTATGACTCCCATATTCCTTAATTCACAGATCTGATCGCATGTACTTTTTTTTTTTTTTTAAGATTTTATTTATTTCTTTGACAGAGAGAGACAGCCAGAGAGGGAACACAAGCAGGGGGAGTGGGAGAGGGAGAAGCAGGTTTCCTGCTGAGCAGGGAGCCCGATGCGGGGCTCGATCCCAGGACCCTGGGGCCATGACCTGAGCCGAAGGCAGACGCTTAATAACTGAGCCACCAAGGCGCCCCTGATCGCATGTACTTTTGAAGTGATGTCATGTTTCTGTTATAAACTGTCCACCTTTTCCTTTTTTTTTTTTTTAAGATTTTATTTCTTTCTTTGACAGAGAGAGACATAGCGAGAGAGGGAACACAAGCAGGGGGAGTGGGAGAGGGAGAAGCAGGCTTCCCCGCGGTGCAGGGAGCCCGATGTGGGGCTCGATCCCAGGACCCTGGGATCACGACCTGAGCCGAAGGCAGACGCTTAACGACTGAGCCACCCAGGCGCCCCTGTCCACCTTTTCCATTGGGATGTTGTGGAGAGGCATATTCTCAGAACACTGCACTTATGCTACCAAAAGGAACCACTTTCAAATCCATCTGATCTTCACAGAGACACTTGTCAGGGGCTTTTTCACTCAGAACAAATGTGTAGGAAACTTCAAATTCTTGAGACCCAGTTTTGGGCAGGATCAAACATAAGATAGGAATAGCTCAGTGCGTATGGGGGTTGTCAACGCAAACTAAGCATTAACCCATCTTCTAGAGCTTTATGTTTCTGTGTTAAGGATCGGAAACCTTGCGGATCTAGATTATTATAAAGACAAATTTAGTTATCTTCTCACTTCACACCCAAAACCAAGGCCTTCGTTACAGTAGTTTGATGGTGGATGGATAAACAGATGGAAGGATGGACAGAGACTTGAATAATATTTCAGACCTACAGGAATATTGGCATGTTATTGTTGCAGACTGGAAAGCACAAATTAGAATGAAAATAAGATGTTTTGTTCCTTTGATTTTAATGGCTGGAAAATACAAAAGAAGGTGTAAGTTAAAAATGTAGAAAAAGAGAAGGAATTAAGAGCACAAATAGAAAGGAGACCTGAAAGTAGAAATTCAGCTGAGCCCGTCTTTTCATAGGAAATGAACCAGGGAGGTTTAAAAAACAAAAAACAAACAAAACAAAACAAAACAAAAAACCCCTGCAGTAACTGATACTCTCAAGGTCAGGGACTGTGTTGTTATTGTCTCTGTGTTCCCAATGTATCAGTATCAAGCACTCCAGAAACATTCACCAACCTAACCAATTATCAATTACTATTCTTCCACACAAATCCCAACCACCGGGCTCTTCTCTAATGAGGCTTCATTTCTTTACCCCTTCAAGAACGCTTGTCAGATCCTTCTGAAATGCCTTGAGCCCATCATTAAGAAAAATCCAGAAGGTACGTGGGAAGACTGGGTAAGTGTTCCTCTCTGTTTGTGATGACAAATGAGAAAACACTCCAAAGCAGGGCCGAGAGCATCACAGCAGCATACAGCCCCACCACACACAGACAGCTTTTCTAAGAACGGACTTCTACAAAAGGGCAGGATCATGAAAGGCTGAGACAGCTTCTCCATGCTGTATACCAGGTACATGTATGTGAGAGAGTGCCCAGGGAACAGCATCACTGAGAGGAGGAATGGAAACGTATGAAGAACACCTAGAAGGCCTTACCCATTCCGTTTAAATAAGAAGAGGAAGAGACTTAGTCTTCCTAAGCCATAAGAAAAAAAAAAAAATTGTTGTTTTAAATGGGGAGGAGGAAAACCAAAAGGCCTAACTGCTATTAAACATGTCTCAAAGGAAATGACTCATCTAATCCAACTTTACAGCATCCTTTATCTTATCTCATTAGAACAGTTATCTCTCACACACACACTTATCTCGAGTTCTAACACTGAGAAACGAAGCCCCCAAAATACCTTGTGAACTCAGCCCCCACATCATGGATGTACAGCAGGAATCTATTTTATTTGTTTAATTCAGACATCTCAACCCAATCAGAAGGAAATTGTTAGTGTACCAGCTGAGGAAAAAAATATTAAAATGAGTTCCATTATTGGTAACAAAGCACCAGCAACAATTATCAGATGTCAATTTTGATATAGGGAATATTTTCATTTTCACCTCTCAGATAATGTATCTATTTTCTTCTGAGTAAATATGCCCATTCTGCAGATAGAAGCTGCTTTTGAACAAAGAATCAGTCTTTCGGCCACTGGATACTTCAGGTAAAAATTACAATAATGTCTGGGCTTAGCTGAGAAAATATAAGGTAACCCAATTGCTCTGGGCCTTAGGTCCCTTATTTGTAAAACAGGTTTTTATTATGTGATCAATGAGGTCCCTTCTAAGCCTAAAATTATATGATTTTATGTAAGCCTTTGAACTATGTCCAGAGAAATACTAAATAATAAAAATACCCTTATTGGGTAAAAAAAAATTTTTTTAATATGACTTAGAACATCTGATCATCATTTACTATTCATTGTTGAGTAGTAAAAAAATAGCATCATTAGAAACAACTTCCAACTCAGTTTTACAAATCTCCCTTCCTTTACCATAAAACCTTTCTGTTTTGAAGCTCCTCTCTGGGCAGGAAGAGATGCGTAGGATAATCACCAATCCTCATTTGTGCAGTTTCTGTCAGTGGGAGGCCCTCAGTCAATTCATGTTCACTGAATGAAGCACAAAGAGGAGAACTGGTTGTCGAGTTCAGGAAGTGTATGACATCAGTTTTATGATCTAGTGAAACAAATCACCAAACTAAACACACACATGCACAGAGAAAGAAAACACTAAAGCAATTTTTTTATGAAGGAAGGAAGGAAGGAGGAAGGTAACAGCCCAGCCCAGTGCCCTGTACTTAATGAGCTCTAAATTTCTGAGTTCAGTTACCCGAGAAGAGAGCAAATCAGCCCTCTAGCCCGGTACATCTTCCATTGTACATTAATGCACTGAATTACGTGCCCTTTTTTACCATCCCTGAAATACCATCACTTCCCCAGTAGGCACAGTCTAGGGGGGCCCTTTGGGAATGCTGATAAAATCGGTTAAGGTTCTCAATCCACAGAGCTAAAGCTCAACCCCTAAACCATGGATACAGACACACTGGGAGGCCCAGACCAAAACAGTCTATTGGATTCTCTCTCTTTTTGTCATCCTAACTGTAGCACAAAGAGTAGATCTTAAAAGTCCTCATCTCATGAAAAAAAAACTTTTTTAACCATGTGTGGTAATGGTAACTATGTTAACTAGACTTATTGTGATAGTCATTTTACATACAAATATCAAATCGTTATGTTGTACACCTAAAACTAATATAATGTTATATGTCAATTATCTCTCAATTAAAAATTAATTTAATTTAATTTTTAAAAAAATTTTAAAGAAGTAGTCAAAAAAGAATTGTTCATGACAGCCTAAAATGCATTGTTTTTTATTCCATTTCAGACAACAAAGTTGCTTTCCAAAGTTTTTGCCAAGAAAAAAAGGGGTCTGTTCCTAAAGTAAGGTCAAGTTATCTAATCCTGAAGGAATAGGTCATTTAGTAAATTGTCTTGAGTAAACATCTGAGAGCACATAACAATGTGATGTTTCTCTAAAGTTAGTTATCCCAAGGGTACTACTGTCCCTAACAAATAGATGGGGGAAGGGTGTGAAAATAATTTTTTTTTAATATTTTATTTATTTGAGAGAGAGAGAGAAACAGCATGAGAGGGGAGAGGGTCAGAGGGAGAAGCAGGCTCCCTGCTGAGCCGGGAGCCCGATGTGGGACTCGATCCCAGGACTCCGGGACCATGACCTGAGCCGAAGACAGTCGCTTAACCAATTGAGCCACCCAGGTGCCCCTGTGAAAATAATTTTTATGTTTATTACTTAATCAAGCATCCTACTGGAGGCAGGGAGTCATATTTAATCAAAAGCTAACAACTTCCGGGGCGCCTGGTGGCTCAATTGGTTGGGCGACTGCCTTCGGCTCAGGTCACGATCCTGGAGTCCCAGGATCGAGTCCCGCATCGGGCTCCCTGCTCGGTGGGGAGTCTGCTTCTCCCTCTGACCCTCCCTACTCTCATGTGCTGTCTCTCATTCTCTCTCTCACAAATAAATAAATAAAATCTTTAAAAAAAAAAAAAAGCTAACAACTTCCAAAAAAAAAAGTTAACATCTACCATAAAAGATAAACCATGAATATACCTCAGATATCATTCTCAGAATAGAGAAATTACAGAAACCTGAAATAGAATATAGTATATCCAGTAAGAAACTCTTAACTATAGGAAACAAACTGAGGGTTGCTGGAGGGGAGAGAGGTGGGGGGATGGGGTAACTGGGTGATGGGCATTAAGGAGGGCTTGTGATGTAATGAGCACTGGGTGTTATATGCAACTAATGAATCCCTAAACTCTACATTTGAAACTAATGATACACTATATGATAACTAATTGAATTTAAATAAAATAAGTTATAAAAAATATATAGAATATCCAAAGCATAGTAATTGTTAGGAAATTTACAGAATGGACCAATGACACATCTAAATTCCATATACAGATTATTCCAACATCATCTTGAACCATCTTAGCTGAAACTAGAAATGATCAATTTACGTAAAATAGGAAGGAATTTGCAAATACTGCCTTGGAAATCTTATCAAAATGTCTTTTATTGCCCCAATGTTAGTAAATTTGTCCATAACTTAAATTTTATATAAATAAGATAGAAAATACAGTAAAAGAAGGGATGCCTGGAGAGCAGTCACCCTCACATTCCGCTTGAGTTCATCCTTAGGATACGTTATATCCCCATTTTCACTCTAGATCATTGTGAAGAAGTAAACCTATGAAAATAGGAACAGATTGTTCATATGATAATATTAAAACTGTCTTTCCTAATGCTTTTCACATCACGGTACATATAGATAATGATAATATTTGCACAGCACATTTACAAACAAGGACCTCATGTTGGCAGGTAACCAGCCTGAGAATCTTGCCCCAGACCCCTCAGAAATCCAAGTGTCAGGGTCCTGACACACCTGTAACCCATTCAAGGCTCCACACTCAGTGGAAAGCTGTTCTTAAACTTTTTTTTAAAAGGATTTTGTTTATTTGAAGGAGAGCGAGTGAGTGAGCATGAGCAGGGGCAGGGGCAGAAGGTGAGGGAGAAGCAGACTCCCCGCAGAGCAGGGAGCCTGACATGGGGCTCAATTCCAGGACCCTGGGATCATGACCTGAGCCGAAGGCAGATGCTTAACCGACTGAGCCACCCAGGGGCCCCTGGAAAGCTGTTTTTAGAAATCAACTAATTTTTCTGATCCTCCGCCCTGAAGGTGGTATTGCCAGATTTGTTGCTAGCAAATAAAAATACAGGATGGCTGGTTAAATTGGAATTTCAGATAAACAACAAATAAATTTCTGGTATAAATATGCTCACTGCAGCATTGGGGACATACTTATTTTATCTGGCAATTCTATCTGAGGGCCTTGGTATAAATCCCTGAAGAAACAAATCTCACAGGGATATTCCAGAATTTATGGTACCAGTAAAGTTAAAATCTGGTTGTCCCTGTGCCTTCCTTATTACTGGCTGAGGTCCAGTCATTGTGGTATCACTTCAGCCCTTGAAATAGTTTATTCCTTGAAGAGGCAAAACTTCTTTTTTTTTTTTTTAAAGATTTTATTTATTTATTTGAGAGAGAGAGAATGAGAGAGAGCATGAGAGAGAGGAGGGTCAGAGGGAGAAGCAGACTCCCTGCCGAGCAGGGAGCCCGATGCGGGACTCGATCCTGGGACTCCAGGATCATGACCTGAGCCGAAAGCAGTCGCTTAACCAACTGAGCCACCCAGGTGCCCCAAAACTTCTTTTAACTAAAGGGAAATCAGAGAAATTAAATGACAGGCCTGGTGCTGCTGGCCACCTGTGGGTGCTGAGCCAGAACGTGTGCCCGTCGCATCACTGCACAGCCTTCCCTTCCCACTGTCCAACACCCTTCATGCAAAATATACCAGTTTTCAAGGTGGAAATAAATCCAACGCCCACTCTGAGGTGTGTCCAACCTCCTGCCCTATCTGTTGGGAATAAATGGAGGCTGGTCCCAATGCCCACAGAAGGTTGTCTGAAAGGTCAACATTTGAGTCAAAAGAGAACTGTCAACCCAAAGGACTAGATAGAAAGGAGGAGCCCAGCTAGTAAGCCTAAACGGAGAATGCCGATGTTGTCAGAACAAGCACAGGACATGGGGGCACAAGGAAAGCCCAGAGATATTCCCGAGATAGACCACTGGCACATACGGGCTTTCTGTGGCTCCTTAACAACCCGTCTGCACGAGCCCGGTGCCAAAACATAAGGGCCAAATTAGTGTGATGTTTCTCAGGGAAGGAAAGAGATTAGCGTAGTCAAAGGTAGTGTCAACGTCTTCCCTTCATATGTTCCAAGATCTTTGAAATCTCCAATTTCATACATGCCACTATGGCTACATGATTTCCTCCATAAATCAGCAATAATACCACCCCCATCAAATCATCACGAGGACTTGATGAGCTCGTGAGTTGTAGCAGAACCACAAATCCAGGTTTAGAATCAGATGAGCAACCAGGATCAATTATTCACTAAGTGACACTCAAAGGCACTCACATACCATGGACTTTGGAGTCACTTAAGAAGTCAAACCAGGGGTGCCTGGGTGGCTCAGTCAGTTAAGCATCTGCCTTCAGCTCAGGTCATGATCCCAGGGTCCTGGGATTGAGCCCCACGTCAGGCTCCCTGCTCAGGGGGAAGCCTGCTTCTCCCTCTCCCACTCCCCCTGCTTGTGTTCCCTCTCTTGCTATGTCTCTCTCTGTCAAATAAATAAATAAAACCTTAAAAAAAAAAAAGAGAGAGAGAGAGAGAAGTCAAACCAGGATTACGTAAGATCTCCTGGGGTCACCGCCAGTCCTAGCACTAAAGTTGAAAAGTTTGGCAGATTTCTTACCACCTCTGATATTGATGAGGTTCAGTGCAGTGTTAATTAACCAGTGAGAGTTCTGGAATAACTGGAGACCTTTTAAATAAATCTTTTTTTTTTTTTAATTAATTTATTTGACAGAGAGAGACACAGCGAGAGAGGGAACACAAGCGGGGTGGGGGGGCGGGGAAGGGAAAGGCAGGCTTCCCACTGAGCAGGGAGCCCGATGTGGGGCTTGATCCCAGGACCCTGGGATCATGACCTGAGCCGAAGGCAGACGCTTAATGACTGAGCCACCCAGGCGCCCTCTTTTAAATAAATCTTAAGATAATCTTTTTAATTTAAGCTTTTATGGTGAAGTAATTTTCATTTTTGGCAGAAAATCAGAACAGACATCGTCATGGATACATGTTGCAGCCTAAATCCCGCCATTGATATTGAGCAGGTAGGTGCTGGCCCATGGAGATGGATGTCACTTCCTGAAAGTCATTGCCGGGAGACTAAGTACCTCTAAAGAGCACACAGCCTCATAGAGCTTGACATTTTCCCCTTTCAGGTTGAAGTTTCCTTTATTCAGGGAATGGGCCTTTATACCACTGAAGAGCTGAAATATTCCCCGGAAGGTGTTCTGTACTCTCGAGGCCCAGACGAGTACAAAATTCCAACCATCACTGATGTCCCAGAGGAATTCAATGTCTCCCTGTTGCCATCATCACAAACCCCACCAACCATCTATTCATCCAAGGTAAGCGCTCAAACCTACTGCTGTGCAATGTGATCCATCAAGAAGCATGGTAAATGAAAGCAGGTAGACAAAAAAAAAATAATAATAATGTCAACCTGTATCAGGACCAAATTATAAGAGACTGTTAGAATTTGGAGAAGAATCACCTAGAGAAAAGTGAGATTTAGAGAGGATAAGTGATCTCTGCCTAATGGCCATCCTTGGCCAAGGTCTTTATTTATTAGTATCTTCTTTCACTGGAAATGCTAAAATTTGGTGAAAAGTTCTGATTTGATAGAATAATATTTTCACTTAAGAACCTTAAGACTAAAATATTAAATGGGATTAAAGGCATGATACTACTAAAATTTTGGGAAGAAGTGGCAGCATGGGAAGAATCCTAGACTGGGCCTCAGTGGACCTGGGTTCTTAGCCTAGCCTCACCAGCTCCCTGTGATCATAGATGAATCACTCACCTCTTGGGGGCTCAGGGTCCTCATCCATACCCATAAATGGATCCAGAACAATGGTTCTCAACTGGTCCCCAGGGTACATTTGGCAATGTCTGGAGTTATATCTGGTTATCACAACTACGGTTGTGGAGGGAGGAGATGTTCCTAGTCTGAGTAGAGAGGCCAGGGATGCTGCTAAATAGCCTTCAGTGCACAAGACAGCCCCCCAACAAAGAATTATCTGGCCCAAAATGTCAGTGGTGTCAGGAAGCAAAGACACAAACCGTTAGTAATTGCTAAAGTAGTGGAGCTGCACATGAAAATAAAGGTCAGCATTTCTTATCATTGCTGTATGCAGATTATGTGAAAATCACTCTCAGAGTAGAAACTTTCTTTAGTTTTAAGATGTATTGTTAAAATTTTCCTTTAAGTCTTTTAGGAGACTTCTTACTAGGGGTGATGAATTGATATAAGAGAAAATGAGTTCATCTATATCTGCTGGAATGTTATCATTTCCAAACTGGAGGCTACTGTCAGCCCAGGAACTTTCTCTCATCATATGGTGACAGAACTGGAGGGTGGAGAGGTGGTTGGGGTGCAAATTTGAAAGGAAGGACAATCAGCATCCCCTTTGGGTTCTCATTAGGCTGGAAATCACTCAAAGAGCAGCATTCAGGCCACCTAGAGCAATGGGACAGGCAGGACCTGTGAGTCCTATGGTTGTGACCAGAGACTCATAGGCAGACCCTGAGGAAACTCATGGGTTTACAGGTGCCCCATAGAGTATATTCTGTAATAATAACAGGGACCTACCGAGTACCAGGCACTGTGCTAGGAGCTTTTGTACTTGCTAAACTTTACAACACCCTGTAGCGTAAATATCATTGCCTGAATTTCACTGATAAAGGAACAGAGGCTCAGAGAGATAATCTTACCCAGAGAAACAGAGGGAGTAAGGGCCAGGTTTCAAACTTCATGTCTCTAGCTTAGGGTTGCAAATTGGGGGCCCACTGGCCGAATCTAGGCCACAGATGTGTTTTTCTGTGACCCACACAGTGTTTTTAAAAATCAGGGAATTGTAGGGGTGTCTGGGTGGCTCAGTTGGTTAAGTGTCTGCCTTCAGCTCAGGTCATGATCTCAGGGTCCTGGGATAGAGCCCTGTATTGGGCTCTGCATTCAACAGGGAGTCTGCTTGAGATTCTCTCTCTCCCTCTCCCTCTCCTCTTCCTCCTCTCTCTCTCAAATAAATACATCTTTAAAAATCAGGGAATTGTACATTAAAATAAGAATATCTAAATTCTCTTGAAAAATTGGATGATCTGGTAATTTTGGCTACATTTTTAGAAGACACCAATGGCCCCTTTAGACAGGACATGGGGCTATCTCTACTTCACCATAATTCCCACTTTTCTTTGCTGTCCTTCAACTGCCCACATCCTCTCATTTATATTACCTGATTGTTCCTTGCAGATGATGGGCTTGCAACCCATCATCTGGTACCCAAATCTGTACTCTTCTAGAGTACCCTACCTCCCCTGATGCTGGAGTCATAACGAGGCATTTTTCTCTCTGCTCATGAAGTTGGCCATTGAATGTGCTTCCCTAAGTAGGATACCACACAGGGTGCCTGGGTGGCTCAGTCAGTTAAGTGTCTTCAGTTCATGATCCCAGGGTCCTGGAATCGAGTCCAGCATCGGGCTCCCTGATCTGCAGGCAGCCTGCTTCTCCCTCCGCTCCCTCCTTCTCTCTCTATCTCTGTCTCTCATGCATAAATAAATAAAATCTTAAATAAATAAATAATAGGATGCCCCCACCAAGACACACACACACACACACACACAAGGTGCGTGTGCATCCACCTTTCCTATAGAACAAAGATTTAACCTAGACAGCATTACAGATATGGGAAGTTCAGGTGGTATTGCGATTTTTAAGAGTACTCAAGCTTCATTCAGTCAATAAGTTACTGAACAAATTATTGTGAGCAAGACACTGTGCTAGGAGTTAGGGAATACAACGTGAATAAAGACCTGGGTCCTGAAATATAGTAGCTTGTAACCTAGTATAGAGAATTCTAAAACAAATGTGCTTTCTTCCAGGGCCTGGGGGAGTCCGGGATGTTCCTGGGCTCATCTGTGTTCTTTGCCATCACTGACGCGGTGGCCGCAGCATGCAGGGAAAGAGACATAGCTGAGGACTTCACAGTGAGGAGCCCAGCAACGCCAGAATGGGTTCGAATGGCCTGTGTAGATCGGTTCACAGAGATGGTATGGAATTATTGATTATTTTCCTAAAAGGTGGCTTTTCTATCTCTTGTTTCTTAGACCTCTAAGGTAAATTCATAACCTAATCTGATCAAATTACAAGGTCAAATTATAAAATGTAAGCTTATCAAAGTATTAAGAGGCAGGGTGCCTGGGTGGCTCAGTTGGTTAAGCGGCTGCCTTCGGCTCAGGTCATGATCCCAGGGTCCTGGGATCGAGCCCGCATCGGGCTCCCTGCTCAGCGGAGAGCCTGCTTCTCCCTCTCCCTCTGCCTGCCTCTCTGCCTACTTGTACTCTCTCTGTCAAATAAATAAATAAAATCTTTTAATTAAAAAAAAGTATTAAGAGGCTAAAAATAAATCACACAAATACCTTGTGTATATGTAGCAATTCTAAATTTTTAAAAAGCATTTCTACATCTGTTATTTAATTTGATTGTCTCGGCAACCCTGAAGTAGGATGATTTATCATGCTTCAAAAACTAATAGCTAAATATGAAACAACTGGATGATTTCATTGAACCATTATATTTCCTCCCTCTATCCCACCTAGCCTATCCTACTCTTAAGAAAAACAAACACAAAAAATAATCCATGTATCATGTAGCTACATTTGATAATATACTGTCCGTGTTCCCAGTACAAACACAGAGTACACAGTCTACCTTTCCTTGAGAAATAACAGGATCTTATTACCAGCTACCGCTTTTCCACTTCATGACAATGCCTCCCAGCCCAGGAGAGGGAGTCACCTGCTAGATGCCCATGCACACAGCAATCCCAGCCTGCTGAATGCTGGAGAGTCACCACCAGTCATTGAGTCCGCCTGTGCCCATTTCCTCATAGCATCCTAATATACACATTAACACTAGTTAGCATTGATTGAGCACCGTCCTAGATATTTTACACAGATTATCTCATGAGTCACTACTATAACTCTGTCAGGTGACTGGTATTATTTTCTTCATTTTACTATTGAGGAAACTTTGCCCAAAGTCAAGATTCAAACCCAGACCATCTGGCTCCAGTATAGTATATTGCCTCTTAGAGAGAAAAGAATTGATTCTCTACCTCTTAAAGGAAATTTGTGTTTTCAGATCTATATTGAAAGAAGCCTAAATACTTAAATGACCCCTTCAAAACATCCAGCCATAGAGTGAAAGAATAATGTGACCCAGGATTTGGAAATACTGCTCAAAAGGAAGTGTCATCATGACACATTTCCTTCCCTTACATGATTCAGTCCTCTTCCCATCTCCAAACCTGACTCAACATTGCTTGTTCTCCAATCGTACCAACCACCCCGTCTTTCCCACCGAGTGTCCCGGCAATAGCGCTGCCCTCCCAGGCGGCCCCTCACCCGACTGTGCTGTCCACAGAAGGTTTACTATCACCTACCTCAGGTCAGTCCTGCTCAGTTGGCCACGGTCAGGGAACCAGCACTCCTCCACTGCAGGGACCCCTTCCCAGGACTGACTTGGGCCTAGAGGGCCCTGTCCACCTCCTCCCAACAGCAGTGGTCACACGGTAACTGGGGAATCGCTTGATCTCTACCCCAATGCATAAGCACTCCCACCTTTCAAAAAATGTTCTCAGTCATCTTTTGCAGTAATAAATATCCTTTCCCAAAATGCGGCAGATTAGCAAAACTAAAAACATGCAGCAGCAGGTTCTAATCTTCCTTTCTTGCCTATGTTTAACTTTGTCAGTCTTCAAATGGCCTGGCTCTCAGAAAATGAATTCCTTCATTTCCAAGTTTTTAGGCCATTTTTAATAGTTGGGTTATCTGGCAAAGTCAGTCTGTCACATGCAATGGTAAGAAGTGAATTGCTTGGATTTCAATTACTATTTGGGATTCAGCCTGCCAGGTACCTTGCTCGTGGGAAGGGGCCATATTTTCTCCCAAGTCTGATGGTTTTTTGGTAAGACTAATTTAATATGTCTCTGTGGATATAAATCATGTACTAATTTGTATACCCATCAATCAAATGCTCAGGATCAGTGTAAAAGTAACATTACATTTTTTTTTATATTTTATTTTATTTTTTAAAGATTTTATTTATTTATTTGAGAGCAAGAGAGCATGAGCGACTCTCACAAGAGAGCACGAGTGAGAGACCATCAGCCAGTGGGAGGGGCAGAGAGAGAGGGAGAAGCAGATTCCCACTGAGCAGGGAGCCCGATGCGGCACTCGATCCCAGGACCCTGGGATAATGACCTGAGCTGGAGGCAGACACTTAACCGACTCAGCCATCCAGGAGTCCCTTCACATTTTCTAAAACACACCTAAATAGCACCTCGTGTTATAGTCTAGATTTGATATATAAACCTCATTTTAGTAACATGTATTATTTTTTATCTTCATAAAAGTAACACATGTCCATTATGGAAAAGTAAGAAAAATATTGCAAAGAATAAGATGAAAGTTAAAATCAGCCATACTCCCACTAACCAGAAATAATCATAACAATTTTGGTATTTAGGGACACCTGGGTGGCTCAGTTGGTTAAATGTCTACCTTCTGCTCAGGTCATGATCCCAGGATCCTGGGATCCAGTCCCGCATCGGGCTCCCTGCTCAGCAGGGAGCCTGCTTCTCCCTCTGTCTGCCGCTCCCCCTGCTTATGCTCTCTCTCTCTCTCTCTCTCTCTGACAAATAAATAAATAAAATCTTTTTTAAAAAATTTGGTATTTATATATATTCACACACACTTGTATCATCTCTTAAGTCATAATTATTTATATGTACAATTTATTTACATACTCATTTTCCAAAATTGAGATATCCCTGATATAAATGTTTAAAAAGATTTGAACAGTATAATTGGGAGTGACTTCATGATGAGAGTATGGGCTTCTTCAAATTCTTGACAATAGTTCCGGGATTCAAGAGTTTCTCTGTTCTGACCTCCAGACACCCACAGCAAAGGATAACCAGAAGCCAGCCTTCAGTGGGGCCTCCCAAGGGAAGCAGAGAGGAGGAAGTCCTGACTCTTGGTTTAACAAAGAGGACCAGAAACACACGAAATATAGATCCTGCTACTTCCTGTCACAGGACATGGCAATACTCCTCCATCCATATTGTACCACAAAGCAGGGCCAGACATTGTTCTGGGGGCTGGGAAGTCAGAGTGAATGAAACAGAGAGCAGCCTCTCCATTTGTGGAGCTTACTTTCTAGAAACCCGAAGTCCACCACCAGCCTGGGTTGAAGCAGCCTCTTCGCTGGCCTTCCTATACCTAGTGCAGCTAGAAAGTTGTGGTGTGACAAATATGATCATGGCATTCTAGCATGTACAGAGGTGACAAGGTTCCCATTGCTCTTTAGATAAAGATATAACTTTTTAACTTGCCCTGCCAAACCTATAAATCTGCAAGTCCAGCATGGCCAGCCTCACCCACTTCTCCAGCTATGCATGGTACCCTACCCTGCCTTCTCTCTCCATGCTTGCCACCTTCTGTCTGTTCCTCTTGTCAAGGACAGAGGCCTCCAACAAGCTCTGCCTTCTGCTAGTAACCGTCTTTATCCTTTTCCCAGGCTAATCCCACTCACCTTTCATATTTTTAATCAAATTCAAGAAATCAATTCAATACTTTCCTTTTTGCATATTTTGAAGTACTGGGAGTATACTGGTGAACCAGACTCACAGGTACCTGCTCTCAAGTTGTTTATGGTGTAGCAGGGGAGAAAGACAAATAATTACCGTGAATTGTAAGTGCTTAGCTGACTCTGGGTTATGCCTGTGAATCAATAGAACAAAACTTTTCTAACTTAGCCTTAACCTTTTCTTAAAGTCAAAGAGATCATAGATTTGGCCCCAGCTTTGATCATTCATCATGCAATCATTCATTCATTTTTCTATGCACCAGACACTGCTGGGGAACTAAAGAAACACTGAGCCAGTCAATCCCTGCCCACATGGAGCTTACATTCTACTGGGGAAACCAGACGGTAAATAAGTAAACAAACACACAATATAATTTCAGGTGGTGATAAATACTATGAAGCAAAATAGAAAAATCGGGGGCTAGAATGTGATGGAGAGATTATTTTAGATAATTTTTTATGGTTTATTAGAGAAATTTTCTCTAGGGCATTGACATTTGAGCTGAGGCCTGAATGAAGTGAGGGAGCAAGCATAAAGCTGGTAATGGTATGGTTAGAGAATAGTTAATGCAAAGGCCCTGTGGCAGTTTCATTGGATTCAAAGTAGCATGGGACCAAGTAGCCCTCAAAAATGGCCTTACCTTGTTAGTCTCTGATATTGGTAGAAAAACTTGTAACTAAAAGGCTGTAGTTGTTCTTCCTGGCATAAAGATATCAGAAATAAAAATGTGTGGGGTGCCTGGATGGCTCAGTCGATTAAGCATCCGACTCTTGATTTCAGCTCAGCTCACAATTTCAGGGTGGTGAGATCAAGCCCCGCACCAAACTCTATGCTGAGTGTGGAGCCTGCTTAAGATTCTCCCTCTCCCTCTCCCTCTGCCCCTCCCGCACTTGCTCTCTCTCCCTCTCTAAAATAATTAATTAATTTATAAATAAAAATAAAATTTGTGACTTACTTATCTCCACATCAGGAGGGTGAAATCTGAATAATCCTTATTCCAGCTTCGATTGCAACTAGCCTCTATCACAATCCAGGTCTATATCTTCAGTTCTTTAGAAATTACGATTTGTTCACAAGGCAGGCCTCCTAAAGTTCTCATAGCCTGGCTCCTCACACAGACCGGTCTCTTTCAAGCATCTTAGAACAAATCTGAGCCTATATCAGATTTACATTTAATCAAACTACAACATGGTATTTTAACCGAAATACAGTCTACCTTGAACAACACAGGTTTGAACTGTGCAGGTCCACTTATACCCAGATTAATATAGTACAGCACTGTAAATGTATTTTCTCTTCTTTAAGATTTTCTTTATAACCTCTTCTCATCTCTTACTTTATAATAAGAATACAGTATATAATACATATGTGTTAATCAACTCTGTTATCAGTAACAGA